GAACCAGAGGAAAGCTCGTGAGCCGGGGAAGGGAGGGCAGAAATCACTGGTGGTTTGCAGGCCCGTGAGAAACACTTATTTATGACTAAATAGAAAATAAATTCCATTTTCCATCGCCCACCCCCACTTTTTTATTTTTGGTCATCACTTGAAGGAGGAGGTGCTAACTGGGACACAGCTCTCTCTTTTGCTCTGGGTGGAAAAGTCTTGACCTCCACTGGGACAGAATTTAATGCAGATGGCCTTTTTTCCTCTCTTCCCCCAACTGTAAACTTCCTGACTTTGAATTATTATTTAAAATTAGCTGTCTTCTGTAGTTTCTTTTATTCCCCCCATAAACCCCACAAGGTCATAAAGTCTAGAGCTGAAAGGGACCTCAGGATGATCTATTCCAATCCCCTTATTTTACGGATGACAAACTTGTGGCCCATATTGGGGCAGTGACTTAGCACAAATCACACAACGAGTGAATTCCAGGGGCAGGATTCGAACCCCAAACCTCTGACTACAAATCTAATACTCCGCATTTCTCATAAAGTCAAAGTGTGAGCATTCTGGAAAGGAGGGTGCCATAAATTGATCCCCTTCCAGCTCCAGGATATGATCTCAGTGCAAAATCTCTGTATCCTACTTACCCTTCATGGCCTCAGAGGCCATTGTTGGTGTTGATATTGCATGCAGATATATTGCATTATATTATCTATTTCCATATACAGTAACACTCCATTAATATGGACCCCACCCATTCAGCATTTGATCCCTTATTTTTATTTTATGATGATAGAATCATGGATCACAGGACCATAGATTTAGACATTAGCCAGCCCCTCATTTTACAGATGAGGAAACTGAAACAAACAGGGTTAAGTGACTTGCCCAAGGTCACACAGCTAGTAGATGTCTGAGGCTGGATTTGAATTCAGGTCTTCCTAATTCCAGGCGCAGCACTCTATTCACTTCACCATCTAGCTACCCTCAATGGTTAGCCATCAAGGGTATTCCTTGCTCTTGGCCCAGCTACTCTTCCAGTCCTGTATTTCCTGAGCAATAATTCATGACACTTCTTGCTGATAAGTAATTATTGGTGATATGTCACGCCCACTCACGCCCATTATGCACTCTTCAGTGTCCTTCAGTGACCCACATGTACATTGACATCTCTAGTGCCTGGCATGTGGTAGGCACTATGTAAATGCTCATTCCTTTCTCTTTCCCCTCCCTTTGAAGGAATGGGGTATATTCTCAAAATGTAAATAGAAAGAGCATTTATTAAACACTGACTAGGTATCAGGCATAGTGTTAAACTCTTGTGATACAAAGACAAGCAAGGAAGACCTCAGGGAATTTCCATTCTCGTGAAAAGAAGATGACATATAATATGGCAGGTGAAAGTTCACCAATCTGAGCCCAAGGTGGTCCCAGGGACAGAGTCCCAGGTCACGATGAGCAGGAGATGGCAATTCTTTGCCATGCATCCTATCTTTAATAGGATAAATAACCTAAGAGGCCCAGGAATTCCCTCCCTGATATACCTCTCTCCCCTCTTGTCAAGAATTTGGCTCTTCAATCCTCTATACCTTACTGGAGGGAGGGGATGATGGAACTCCCCCACCACTCTAGATATTGACCCTTAATAGAAGCTGTGGGTAACCCACCCTAAGGGTATCACAAACTTCCCCTCCCAAACTCTGCATCCAAACTGACTTTGCCTCTCAAAATGCTATTGCCCTAAATAATTTTCTTTAATTAAATATATATATGTTTAATATGATTTTATATATATATTATGTGTGTGTGTATATATATATATATACACATACATATACATATATACATATTTGGGGAGAGAGAGAGAGAGAGAGAGAGAGAGAGAGAGCGCGTGCTTACATCAGATTGCATGCCATCTTGGGGAGAGGAGGGAGGAGGAAACATTTAGAACTCAAAATCTCATGAAAGTGAACGTTGAAAACTAAAAATAAATAAAATAACTAAAAATAAATATATACATATTTAATTATTATCTTTGCTTTTTACTTCACCTTCATTTCCAAATATATCTTTCCCATTGACCCAAGCCAGAAAGCCATCCCTTATAACAGAGGAAAAAAAAGAAAGAAAAAAAGTAATTCAGCAAAATTGACCAACATAGCAACTGAGTATGACAGTGCAGTGTATGCGGTGTTCTGCACCCATGATTCCCCACCTCTGTAAGGAAGGTGTATAATAAATGAAGATTCCCAAGGAAGATTCCACTGTAGTTTAATTGGTTCACTTTGAGGGAGCATTGAGGTATTCAAGCCTGAGTTGATTTCCCCCAGTCTGAGCTGTTAGTCTGGTGATCTCATGACTCTTACTGATATTTTAAATACGTTGGAAGATGTAAAGGACCGTACAAATGCACGGGTATAAAAATGTGGGGGTGTCTGGGGCCAGCTTGAACTGGCTTCTGAGAGCTGATTGTTAAATGTTCAGTTCAAGCCTCAGAAACTGGGAAATGCTACAAATCAGTGTTTGATTTTTTGCTTCGTTGATCGTCTAGACCTAAGAAAGCGATGGGGGTAATGTTAATAATGAAGATTAAGCTTAAAGGTGTGCATTGTGCACATTTTTTCTCCTGGAGATCAGGTTTTAAAATATTTACCAGCCCATCCCTGAAAGCCGGGTATTGGTAGGATTGATTTTCGCCCTGATGAAGGCTGAGTACTGCAAATGCCACAAAATCCAAAGCTACAGTTTCTGGTGCCAATTTTAAAAAATCTTCTAATGGGTCAAAGGCGCCCTAGGATTCTCAGTCTGATCCTCTGCTAAATCTGGGCTCCCCTGAACCTTCTTCTCTGCCCCTCCTCCACAACCCCTGCGGCCATCTCAGCACCTTAACCGGGTGCCTGGCACTTGAAAGGAGTGAATTTCAATAGGCTGTTTTCCCTAGAGGAATATGGCCCGAGGGAAGGGATAATAATAACAGCTCGAACTTTCTCTAGCGTTTTAAGGTTTATGAAGCTCTTTCCTTATGACAGTTCTGTCAAGGAGGTCATGCAAATATTATTATCTCCATTTTTTAGATGAGGAAACCGAGGCTCAGAAAGGTCAGATGCAGCATGGGGGAGTGGAAGAAAGCTAGCAGTGAAGGCTGAGAATCTGGAATCAAATGTCTGGTCTTAATATTACTCAATATTCCTAATTACCAATTAATAGTACTTAATATTGCTAATTACTGGTATGGAATATTACTAGTTACAAAGTAACATTGCTAATTAATAGTACTTAATATTACAAATTACTAGTATGGAATATTACCAAGTACAAGCTAACATTACTGATAAATAGTACCTTATATTAATTAGTATTACTTAATATTAAGCAATATTACTAATTAAAAGTAGTTAATACCACTCATTACTAGTATGTAATGTTACTAATTACTAACACTACTGATTATAGTACTTTATGTTGATCAATGTTACTAATTAATAGTACTTAATATTACTAATTGCTACCCTTGTAGGTTTTGGGCAAGTCACTTAAAGTCTGCACTCCTCAGTTGACCTTATCCATAAAATGAGAGATTCGAACTAGAAGCTCTCCAAAGCCTGAGCCCTGTGTCAGCCCCATGACCCTCTGCTCTGCCCAAGGTCCCATGACCAGTAAGTGTCAGAGCCAGGATGGGGCCTTGAGGAGCAACCCAAGGAAAAGATAGTAGCAGAAATTCAGCTAGGGAAAGAGAAAAGAAGATAAGGAAGTGTGGGCAGGAGACACAGCCCTCCAGGGAAGTTGTCTGGAAGCCCAGGGGCACCTGACAGTTTCGGCTCCCAAGGGGCAGGACTGCAAGTAGCCCTGGGGGGAAGGAGGTGATGATGGCAGCTCCTCTGGTTCTTGGTCATTTTTTTCCTTCTTTCTTTAAATAATAACCTTTGGTACTTTTGTGCAACAAGTGGCCAGATCAGATCACCAGCACCAGAGGTGACTTTGATTGGCTGACTTCCTTTGGCAGGGATGCCCACTAAGAAAAGCCCCCCTCAGATGGGCTACCCGTGCACTGATGCTTGTTGACCAACTCATCCACGCTCAGTTGGCCTCCCTTTGTCTTTTCTGGTCCCTTTCTGCAGCTGCCCTTGGTGAAAATAGATATTAGGGTCTCAGAGAAGCAGCGTAGTCCCAGGCATAGTCCGCCAAGGTGCTATGTTCTTACCCGTGTCCCCCTCCTCTCTTTTCCCACCGCCACCTCCTGAGAGAAAGCCCTTATTACGACCTGTCTAGACTTTGGCTGGAGCCTTCCAACGGGTCTTCCCATGCCCAGGCTCTTCCCCTGAGGTCCATCCTTCGCGCTGCTGCCAGACTTGTCCCTCCTGCCACTCTCCTCTTTTTTTTTGGCCCATGCCTAATTGTAGGCAGCTGTCTGGGAGGACATTTCCTCTGCCCATTCACCTGTACTGGGATGTGGTTCTCAAAGTGTGATCCACAAGGTGAAAACTATTTTCCTAATAATCATAAGATGTTTTCATTTCTAGTAGGGTAAATGTCAATGGAGATAACCACGCAAACAAAAGCTCTTTGGGAAGGGGTCTACGTAGTTTTAAAAACTCTAAAAAGGGTCTTGAGGCCAAGAGCATCAAGAATGCAATATAAATGTGCATAATGTGTATATCTACACACATACATACACACATATGTGTAAGCACACACAGGTGTGTATATATGTGCGTCTGTATGTATACATACGTGTGTACTTATATAAATGAACATATATGGGTAAATATGTATGTACCTTGTACATATGCATATAATATACACGAGCACATGTGTGTCTATGTGTACACAACATATACAAAGTGATGTAGGTATCTGTAGATCTCTATACGCATATGGACAATATACACACGTATGCACTCATCCATAAGCACACAATATGTGTGTGTACACACATACACATACATGTACACGCGCATAAGCATGCTTTCCTCGTTTACTAATGGGTGACCAATTGATGTCTTGATTTTCAGATTATAAGACAGCAGTTCCCGCAGTTAACCACAAGAAGGCTTGGAACTAGAGGCCAGTCAAAGTGAGTAACCCCGAGTGCTTCCAGTGCAACACGATTGGCTCTAGTGGGAGTCTCCCGCTCCCGTGCTGGGCCCTGGAGTGAAGGCTGAGTCCCGGGTTTTGTTGGTAGGGAGAACACCCTGCTGGGGCTGGGAGGTGGGGGTGGGACTCTCTTTGCCAGTGCGTGCTGGCTTCTTCTCTGAGACAGAAATTCGCCCCAGAGTTGCCTGGAGTGAGACTGAGGTACTCAGCCGGGCTTGCCCAGGCAATGTATGGCAGAGGGAAGACTGGAGCTCAGGTCTCCCTGGCTCCCAAACCAGACCTGTCTGCACTGTGCCACAGCCACTTCTTCGTACCAGGGGCCATTCATCCTTTCAACGCCCACAGTACGTTGCAGGAAACCAGACGAGGCCATCTCACCTAGCCCCCTCATTTTGTAAAGGAGGAAGCCCCGCGGAGAGGGGATTCATCCAAGGTCACATAACTCACCTCCAACTTAAACCAAGTCATGAAGTCATTGATCTAGAACCAGAACAGGCCTCAGAAGTCGCTTATCTCCTCAACTTACAGATAAGCGAACTGAGGCCAGAAAGGAGAAGGACTTGCCCAAGGCCACGGAGGTCCTCTGGTTCTCTGGCTCCCAACATTTCCCCTACAATTTGGAGCTCCGCTAGGATTTGCCCTTAAAGCCTAGAATTTAGCATCTCTGAGCCAGACACACCCGAATGGGCCATCCCTCGTATCTAGAGAGTGAAGGAGCCAGGGCAGGCTGGCTGTGCACGGAGCCCCTCCCGGGGGAGCAGAGCACACCTGTTAGGTCAGCGTCAGGAGCCTGCTGGCAGGGTAGTCTGCTCTCTGGCCCACGGCACCGGGAATTCTCTCCACATCAGGCCTTTGAGTGACATGGTAGGTTAGCTGGCACTTAGCAAGCAGCTACGTGGAGTCAGGCACTGTGCCAGACGGGGCATTCAAAGGAGATCTCTTCTCTGGCCTGCAGATTGGAAGATGCCTTCAACTTGTAGATGGAAACTCAGCTGATTTCCACTGGCTTGGGGGAATATGGCTCTCCCTGTAAGAGGAGTGGCTAAGGGGGTGCCTGTGCTCTATGGAAGCAGCTGGAGCCCTAATTCTGACTCACAGCCTAGGGCAGAGTCCAGTGATAAGTCGTATGTGATTTAATCTTTCCCTGATCAATATAGGGGCCATTGACAAGGTTATCAGCTGTTGCCAGAGATCCTGATGAGGGCCCCAGGCTCTTTTGCTCACTATGCCCAAGCCCAGCCTTTGAAAGCAAAGCTAGCCCAGCCTTGTAAGCTGGTATTTCTAAACTGGCCTTCACATTACAGAGCTGGCTGCGCTGTCAGGAGGGAGACCTCTGTGTGGCCGAGCAGGAAAGCTTGCAGGAGTTCAGCGACCTGGGTGGCTGTCCCTGGGTGCATGCCTGGGCTTTCCATTCAGTACTACACTACTCCACAAGCATTTTGAGTGCCTCCCTTGTATAAGGCCCTGTCCTAGGTGCTGGGGACGCAGCCAAAACGAAACGGTTCTTGACCTTTTGTCTGCACCCTTGGGGACAGTTTCATGTAGTGCGATGTTCTGCAGGCTGATGGAGGTCCTGAGCCGCGGTGGGCACCAAAGAGCTGGACAGGGGAGATACTGTGGCCTTGAAAACACTTTCTATGCCCTTCTCTGTCCTATACCAGCTCGTGAAGGGTTCTTTGCAGTCTGAGGTCATGAGACCCTGACATCTGGCTGGAGACCTTCAATCCCTAAGAGTATATTAAGGGCCTGCTATGTGGAAGGCATTGTGCCAGGTTCATAGACAACCTCATAATAGCCAGATTCATGTGCCAGACAACAGAGATGACAATAGACATAGATCACATAGGGCTCCTGCACTAAAGCACCTTCCAATCTAACCTGAAATTTATTAGCGTCTTTTCCATAAGCCAGAATGACCTCATGGGCATTATTTTATACAACCTTCTCCTGTGGAGATAAGAGCAGCTAATATTATCCCCATTATTATTCAGCTGGAAAGAATTAAACACAAAAAGGCAAAGTGACATGCATGCCAAAGTCTCAGAATCTCTCATTGGCAGAGAAGACAACGTCCAACTCGCCAGACCCCAGAGAAGCGCTGGGAGGTTTGACTTGGCCGTCCTGGCCTTGGCCCAGCTGCACCAAAGATTCAGTTCTCACTTTTTTTTTCCCATAAGGAACTATTCTGGTTATTTTTTTTCCTAGAATGATTTTACAGCTGGGACTGAGCTAAGAGCCTTCAGCAGGGTCACCACGGCAGACCCCAGAAGTCCCGAACCCCACTCCTGCTTCACAGAACGCTATAGGACCCTAGATCTAGAGCTGAGAGGGGGCCAGGAGGTCATTTAGCCCAACTCCCTTATGTTACAGATAAGGAAACTGAGGCCCAGAGATGTGATAGGATCCTAGATTTGATAGTAGAAGCCCTTTATTTTATGAAGCAGGAAACTGAGGCCCAGAGAGTTTAGTGACTTGCTGAATGAAGGTCCTATGGACAGACCTGAATTTGAACTCAGGCCCCCTAACTCCAAATTCAACCCTCTTCTTGAGGCACCATTTTCAATTCATTTCAATTTAGCAAGTATTTATTGAGTGCCTACTATGCGCTCGGGTAAGCCCTTGTATGGGCCCTGTCCACAAGGAGATGGGGTTCTCCTGGGAAATCATCTGGATGATGGAATGCTCGGGTCTTTGCCTCTCCATCCCAGGTACCATTACTACGGCATTGCGGTGAAGGAGAACTCTCAGTATTATGATGTGATGTATTCAAAGAAAGGTGCCGCTTGGGTCAGTGAATCCGGGAAGAAAGAAGTAAGCAAGCAGACAGTGGCGTATTCCCCCCGCTCCAAGCTGGGAACCCTTCTGCCCGAGTTCCCCAACGTCAAAGACCTGAACCTGCCAGCCAGTCTGCCAGAGGAGAAGGTGGGAAACCACGCCTGAAATCAGTGTCTCTCTGTCTCTGTCTCTCTCTGCTTCTTTCTCTGTCTCTTCTGTGTCTGTGTCTCTGTCTCTCTGTTTTTCTGTCTCTCCTTCCTTTCCTCCTCTCTCTCAGTCTCTTTCTCTGTCTCTTCTGTCTCTATGTCTCTCTGTGTCTCTGTCTGTCTCTCCTTTCCTCCCTCCCTCCCTCCCTCTCTGTCTCATTGCAAAAGGGTCCATTTAAACTATAACTGCCATACAATGACTGCAAAATGTCCAACGATACCCAGTGCATCAGAAATACTTTTCAGCAGGTCTACATATGCTGAGCATCTGTAACATAAAAGACCCCATAAAGCCCTATTAGGGATCAATGATGTTGTGATGACTAAGGCAAAGCCTCTGCCCTTGAGGAATGGAAGATTTTAGAAGGAGGCACATACATGGAATCTACCAGTGTCTGGGGACTCCCTTGGCCACGTCCCCATGCCACGTCCATCACACTCCAGCTTCCCATGAGGCTCTGGAGTGGTGAAGCTATTCCCCAAATATCTCTGCAGCCTGGGACTGCCACAGGGAATGAATTCTAGGATGGTCATTTCCCAAAGCTTGTGGGAGATGCGAAGCAAGCCAGCGTCGGGAGATGGGGAGGTTACAGACTCAATTGTGTAGGACAGAAAGCAGAGGTGGCCCCACGGCCTTTGAGAGCTGGGGTTTTTTCCCTTTTGATGATGTAGGGCCCAAGGCAAAGCAATTGTTGGGCAGTGTAGGAACTAGTTTAGATGCCGTATATGGCATCTCCCTGGGATGCAGCCTTGTCTTCTAGGAATAGCTGAACGAGGAGTCAGGAGATCGGGAAGACAGAATTCCAGCTCTTATAGCCCATCAAAATGAGGAATTGGGGCTGTCTGGCTTTGGAGTGAGGATGGTCTCTTTTAGCTTTGAACATTCTGTGACTCTGTTGGAATGATCTGGGAGGGAATGTATTTTTAGCACCCAGTGAGTCCAGACTCCTCATTTTACAGATGAGGAAACTTTGTCCCAAGGAGGTGAGGGGACCTGTCCAATGTCACACAGGGAATTAAGGGCAGTGATGGGAGCACAACCCAAGCCTGGGTTATCTGCCATTTTGTGGTCTGGGTCACATCTTCACCTAGATAATCACTGACCTGGAATCTCTCGGGGCTGCTTCAGTAAGTCAATGATTTTGCTTTTAGTCCAGATCTATGATTTCATCAGTGTTGCGGATTTCCCCTGGGGATACTTCTGCACTCATGCAGACCAGAACCTCACCTGTGATTTATCATTCTAAAGAGGACCTGAGGCCTTGAAAAGGAACTTGCGAGTAGCCACCCAGCTGGTATCTGTCAAAGGGAGTTGAAGCCAGCCCTTCCTGAAGCCAGGGCCGTTCCTTTATCTATTATGCCACACTCCTCTTAATGACCTACATTTAAAGTTTTTTTACAAGAAAAAAAAACAAGAAAATACCAAATTGGGGTGTTTTTCTTAATCCATTGATAAATTGTATATTTTGACCCCAGAGCCTTGAAATTCCAGATGTCCTGATCTATGAACAGAATCTAAGAGCGGATCCCTGTGATCTGGGGAAAAGCAGCCCCCTTCAGTTGAGAGATAAGGAAAGTGAATCTGGCCCAGGGTCCCAAGGGTGGTGTCTGTCTTCACCACCCACATTTTGTCTTCACCTGTCAGTGCTGTCCATCAGCCCAGGAGGAAGGAGTCTGTGCTTCCCAGTAGGGAATGGTTTGGGAGCTGAAATGCCCCAAAGAGGCTTAAGCAGTTTAACGGTGGCCTTGTGTTTATGCCCCAGGTTTCGACCTTTATTATGATGTACAGAACCCATTGTCAGAGGATACTGGACACTGTAATACGAGCCAACTTTGACGAGGTAGGTCCAGAAATGATGGCGTCTTCTATTCCAAGGCAATTTTATGGACCAAAAAAATCACATGCCCAGCAGCAGAGGGCATTTTAAGGGCACTTTCACGTCTATTGCCTTAAGCGGTGACCTGAGTTCTGATTTTTATCGGAGAATTAAGAAAAAAGAAAGGCTTATAATTAATATTATTGAAGTGTTTATTCGTCAAGACATAGAAAACAGAGAAGCTTGCCCATGCTTCTGTTTGATTCCTCCGTCCCCCTCTTTGGTTATGGAAAATCCTTCCTTACAAGCGGTTTCAGGGCTTTAATCAAATTAGAGCTTGTCTTGGAAGGCATGGAGTTCGACCTCCTCTTTTTACAGAGGAGAAAACTGAGGCCCTGGGCCAAACGAGCAGAATCCTTGATGTGGAGCTAGGAGGGACATTAGAGTTCAACTGGTCTGACCCTCTTCTCTTACCAAGGTGGAAACTAGGACACAGAGAGAAAAATCCCTTGAGTGGCTTGGAATTCCATGAAGTCAGCATTTGCCAAGCAGGTTTCTCACCCATCCCTGACACTCTACCAACTACTCTTATAATAGTCACTGTGGATGGATGTGCATGGAGAGGGAAGAGGGCATAGATGGTACAAGCAGAAGATTCCCCTGGGGTCATGGAATCCTGGATTTAGGGCCAGAATCAACCTGAGACATTCTGTAGTCCAACCGCCTCACTTTACAGATTAGGAAACTGAGGCCAGAGAGGGGCTTGTCCAAGGTAGTAAAATGAGAGTCAGGATTTGAACCCCAGATCTTCTGACTCTAGCATCCTTAATGGGGGATGCACACCTCAAATCCAGGGCTGCTGGTAATGGCCAGGCCTAGTGGCGATCACTGGCAGGAGCCCTCCTACCTACTAGAACATCAGTGGGGAAAAAGCTGGTGCTCTTTGGGCTAGATCAGGAGAGCCTGGATGAGAGTGAATCCACACTGGCCCTGGTCTTACTTCATCGGTGGAAAAAGTGGGGTTCTTTATTCACAGCAGCCTCGATTTGGACTGTGTGTGTGTGGGGGGGATGGTTCATGGAGTCCAACCCCTCAGAGACCCAGAGCTTTTAAGTGTAAGGTTGTTTTTTTTTTCCTTTTTGGTGAGGCAATTGGGGTTAAGTGACTTGCCCAGGGTCACACAGCTAGTAACTGTTATGTGTCTGAGACTGGATTTTTTGAACTCAGGTCCTCCCGACTCCAAGCCCAGAGCTCTATCCACTGCACCACCTAGCTGCCCCAGACCCAGAGCTCTAAGGCCAAGGTCACACAGGCAGAAAGTTGGAGGACTTCTACTCTGACTCCTCAGCCTGACTCTTTACATTACTTCCCTTTTTTCCCTAGAATTCTCAAAGGCCCCTTGAGGATTTAAAGTCCTTACACAAATCATAATCCCTGAGTGCCCCCATTTGAGAGCGAAGGGAGCGTTTTTTCCAGCAGGGGAAGCATAGAATTCTCCCAGACCACCTTCTCCTGGATGGGGAGGGATGCTGGGTCTTTGTGCTTCTGGGGAAGATCTGAGCACTCAGTCTCAGTGCTGGGAAAGGGGACGCTTCCCTGGAAAGAAACCTGCATTCTTCAGAGGTCGGCGGGACATTGTGTGGCAGTCCCTGGCATCCTGTCCATCGAGGCCCACTGCCTTCCCACCACCGTCTTTTTATTACCCACATTATCTTCCCTGAAATGGAATTCCCCCCTTCAGGGGGCTTTGAGCCCGGGGGGATGTGTCTTTGGATAGGAATGCCTTCACTTTTAGGAGCCCCTGGGGTGTGGGGTTTCTTTGAGTTCCTCTGGAAGGATGCTTGGAAGGCCTTTCATACAAGCATATTAAACTGTCCTTTTGGACATAACAGGGACTTTTCTGAGGCTGAATCCTCATTAGTTTTCCTACCCTTTATTCTCTCTCCTGATATTAAAATATTGTCACAATAGAACATGATGAGTCATTTTGTCTGCTCGAGGATGGCACTAGCATGCCCACCACCGGGGTGCCCTCTTTTCTCGGGAGTGAACTCATCTGGCACAGTGCAGATTGGCAGCTTTAGAGTGGATCTGACCACAGCTTAATGGTCATTCACTCCTCTGACTCTGGAGCGTGCTTTGGGAGGGAGTGCGGGCAGCCTGAAGCTCGGACCTCGCCCCGAGACAGATCCCCTGAACACCCCTTGCTCATCACCTTGGAGAAGCCAGGCTGACCCAAGATTACCCAGCTCCTTCCCCTGATCAGGCTTCCCCACATTCTCTAGCAGAGGGCTCCCACTAGCAACCGCCTCTAAATCCAGCCATTACTGATAGCCCCAGCTCCCAGGGGAGTCAGCCGGTCCTGGGTGTGAATCCCGACCTTACTGTTTCTGTTATTTCCTCTCTCTGAGCTTCAGTTTCCTTCTTTGAAGGATTACAGATTTACAGATGGAAGGAATTTCGGAGGTTTTTAAGTTAAGCCACCTCATTTTACAGAGGAGGGAAATAAGACTAGAAAACTGAAATGACTTTCCCAGAATCACCCAGCTAGAAAGTGTTTGAGGCAGGATTTGAACCCAGATCTTCCCCACTCCCGGTCTGGTACCAGAGTATTGAGGGGGGTTGCACTGGATGATCCCGGGGAGCCTTCTTCCAGCTTAGCAAAGGCAGCCCAGTGCTCTTTTCTCTTCCCATGCCCCACAGCTCATTCTCCCTTTCACCATGATTGAAGAAGGGGGCCTCAGGCTCTGCAGAGCAAAGGTTTGCACATTCACTTCCAGCCCTCGATGACATTTTATTGTGAAAAGTACTATTTTTAAAACCTCTTTCACATATATCATCCTATTTGGTTCTCATAGCATTCTTGTGAGATTAGCAGAACGCCTATTAATTGTATTAATGCTATTTTGCAGAAGAGGAAATTGAGGCCCAGAGAGGCTAAGTGACTTGCCCAAAGTCACACAGGCAGTAACTGGCATAGTCAGGACCTGAGTTCAAATCCTACCTGTTTCTTCTTTTTCTTTCTTTCTTTCCTCCTTTTTTTTTTTTTTTTGGGTGAGGCAATTGGGTTTAAGTGACTTGCCCAAGGTCACACAGCTAGTAAGTGTCAAGTGTCTGGTCTGAGACCAGATTTGAACTCAGGTCCTCCTGACTCCATGCCCGATGCTCTATCTACTGCACTACCTAGCCGCCCCTCTACCTGTTTCTTACTTAGGAGCAGCTAGGTAGCAAGATAGCGCACAGAGTGCTGGGCGGGAGTGAGGAAGACCTGAGTTCAAATCCCTCATCAGACATTTCCTAACTGTGTGACCCTGGGGCAAGTCATTTAACCTCTGTTTGCCTCAGTTTCTTTATCTGTAAAATAATAATAACACTTACCCTTCCCCATACTTTCCCAGGGGGTTGTGATGATAAAATGAGACAATTATTGTATTTATTATATTATAGTATATTAATTATTGTATAATAAATGCTTAAAAAATGTTAGCTATTATTGTTATTACCTGTATGACTTCGGGCAGGTCACTGTCCCTCTCTGGGCCTCAGTTACCCCATCTGTAAAATTAGGGGGATTGGACCAGATGGCCTCTGGGGTCCCTTTCAGCTCAGAATCTGTGAGTTTAAGACCCTCTCTTACCCAATAATTCCCCCAAGCTTCTGACCTTTCTCACCTCCCACCCCTTAACCCCTAATCAGTGACCTTTTTTGTGTCCTAATTAGTTCATCTGTTAAACCAATCCATGACAATAGATGCTAAAGAGGTTAATGTGTTAACCCTGGCAGGTAGCATTTACATTTTAAGAGCGTCCCCCTGCAGAGACAAAGTCTTCTGCCAAGGGTAACCCCAAGATGGGGATTCTGTGCACCCTGGGAGGCTGGAGGGGGTCCTGTTTGGGGGACAGATGTCACTTTCAGCTTGTCTCCAGCTTCCCCACCCAGGGGGTCTTTGGTCCAGATAGAAGTCAACACACATTTCCATCTCTGATGATGTGGTCTCTGGGAAGTTTCCCGTGTAATAAGGTGTTTTCTTTTGTTTCTTCCTGGTTTGGGCGAATACAGGTTCAAAGTTTTCTTCTGCACTTTTGGCAAGGAATGCCCCCGCACATGCTGCCCGTGCTCGGCTCCTCCACGGTGGTCAACATCGTGGGAGTTTGCGACTCGATACTGTACAAAGCGATTTCTGGAGTGCTCATGCCCACGGTGCTGCAGGCATTACCGGACAGGTCAGTGCCTGGCTCTCTGGAGATAGAGGGATAGGTTGGTGAATGGAAACCCACGAGCCCTTTACCCTTAAGCAAAACCAAGGGTACAAGAAGGCATTTCAGGGGGGAGCCCCCTGTGCTTCTGCCCCAGGACTTTTAGTTTTAATCACATTCTTTTTCCATAATCTGTTACCAGTAAAACACTCCGGAGCCTCAGTGTCTGTCTGTCTGTCTGTCTGTCTACCTCATGGGCATCCCACAGATACTTTGGATGAATCAGCCACACCAGCATATGAGGGAAGGCATGTGTGTGTGTGTGTGTGTGGGGGGGGGTTGTTGTTCTTGTCCCAGCTGCACAAGTAAGCTGGGCTTCCCATGAAATCTCGTGAGGGACAGCTGAGCAATGTCAATTCCTTGTTCAGGGTGTTGGGTGGGATAGGTGGTCTAGAATTGCTCTACTTGTCCTCAGGGTATGTGCTGAGAGGATGGGATGGATGTGGCAGGCATTCACATCTTTAGATGGTTGAGTTTTCTCCACGAAGCCCTTTGCTTCCCTTTCCTTGGCAGAGATACTGGAGTGGTTTGCCATTTCCTTCTCCAGCTCATTTTACAGATGAGGAAACTGAGGCAACAGAGTTAAGTGACTTGCCCAGGGTCACACAGCTAGTAAGTGTCTGACACTGGATTTGAACTCAGGAAAAATAGTCTTCCTGACTTCAGGACCGGCACTCTATCCATTGTTACCATCTAGCTGTCTGGATACATTATAGCTGTCATCAATTATTCGAGCGGTTGTTGCATGGAAGAAAGTTCCATTCATTTTGCTTCCCTCCAGAAAGCAGAACTAGGAACACCTTGGCAGGTAAGGAGTCACAAAGAGGAAAATCCAGGGTTGATGTAAGGAAAAGCCTCCTACCAATTAGAGTCCTCCAAAGAAGAATGGGCTGCCATGATGGTGCTCCTCATCCAGGCGAGGTCAGTGCCTCCCTCCCTGGCTGTCTGGTCTTGTTCAGGTACATGTTGGACAGAATGACCTCTGGAGCACCTCCAGATTCTGAGCTTCCCAGGGTCAGCATGAGTTGCATCCATGATAGCGCCTCCTGAGCTGTCTCTGTCCAAAGTCCAGATATCCGTTCTGACAGTTGAAGGTCAGAGGACCAGGACAAGCGTCATTAAGTTAAAAAGAAAAGTCAGGAGGAGTAACTGCCTCGGGCTGTCCAGCGGGCAGAGTAAATGTGGGGCCATTTCTCAGGAAGGAGGTTCGGACAGGAAATATTTATGTTGGGGTCACACACAAAGAGCTCCTGGTTGAAACCCTGATGTGAAGACAATTCAACTAATACTTATGAAGCATTTACTGTGTGCAAGGCACTGAATAGTAACTGAAGAAGACAACATTGATTAAGGCTAGGTAAGAAATGAAGCAGAGAATGGCCTCTTTACCTAGTTTTAAAAAAAAATCAGTCTGAAAGGACCAGTAAAAGGGAACGAGATGGTATGGACAGAGAAATAGAAGAATACGTTGTTATGCATCTCAAAGCTGAAGAAAAAATCAAGAAGGGAACGGTCTATCAATCAATCAACAAACATTTATTAAGTGCCTACTGTGTGCCAGGCTCTGTGCTAAATGCTAGATATTATTATAGGTCAGAGATACGAAGGAGGATGAGGTTACTGGGTTTTACCACTAGGAGGTCATTGATGACCTTTGAAATAGATTGCATAGATTATAGACTTCTTGAGGACAGACCATCCCCCAAAGCATGAGTAGGCACTTAATAATTACACATTGAGTATTGAACTGAATTGACCTAGCTCTTCCTTAGCCCTCAGCTCAGGGACTCTGGTCAGTATCTGAAGTGAAAACAGCCCCAGCCTGGCTACGGTCCATTAGCTGGGGCACACTTGGGCTCCTCCTGAAAGTCTGGCATCCTTGAGTAGGAGTCCGCAGAACAAAAGCCCTCCCAGGCAGGCTCTGATGGTATGTGAGCCTCTCCTTTTTATAAAAAGCCCACCGGGCTATGGGAAACCCAATGCAAACCCAACACGCAATCCTCTCTGCTGGTGATCTCGTGCTCCTGGCCAAAGCCTGGCCTTCCATCCTGAGGCTGGGATTGATGCCTCATAGGCACAAAATGTTATTCAAAGAGACTGAAAAGGAAACCTTCCCGTGATTGCCCTAGCAGCCGCAGGGGGGTCTTGCTTATTGTAATTTCCATAGCTTTTGACCCACAGAGGTGAACAGCCGGCAGAGGCTTAGAAAAGCCCCCTCTCCCAGGAACTAAGCCAAGGCAGCTGTTTCACCCCTTGGCAGGGCACAGTTTTGGGGTCTGGGACCATGAGCCAGGGACATTTTCCCTCCAACTTGACAATTGGTGTAAGAATCAGAAAAATTGTGCTAGTTCATGGTGTGGCCCACCAGGGAATGACACCCCTTTGATTTATCCAGGAGCAGCAGAAAGATGAGTGTGGGGTGGACCCTTCTGAGGATCATGTTGCCATGATCACAGATGACGCCCGAGGGCCATTTCTAAGTACAGAGCCACGAGACAAGACCTTTCCTTTCTGATGGCTTAGATTACTACTTGGCATACAGTAAGCACTTCATAAATGCTTGATGACTTGATGGTCTACAAATGTAGGATTCTTCCTCTATTCCTATTCAACTAGGTGGGAGGAATGCAGCATTGTCCTGCTGAAAGAGAGTCACAGGACCTGAGTTCAAATCCTGACCCTGTCATTTATCAGCCTTGTGTGATCTTGGACAAAATCATTCATGTAACCACTCAGCGCCTCATTTTCTCATCTATAACACAAGGGGGTCAGACTTGCTGGGCTCTGATGTCCTTCCAGCTCTAGGTCTGGGGGCCTGTGATCTGTCTTCTGATCTTCTCCTTTTCTAGTCTGCACTGGCCGGGTGCTGGTCACACAGTAGATAGCATATGGACCGAGGATTCTGGAATGAATGAATGAATATATGAGAGCTTCACCTTAGGGAGAGGCCATATTGGTAGAGGAAAGAAAGCTGATGCTGTGGTGGTCAAGGGAGATTGGAATTCAGGGCCTACTCCTTATCTAATTGTGTGAACCTGGAGCTTCAGATTCCTCATCTGTAAAATGGGTGTAATGAGACAGTAGAACCTCAAGAGGGGTGGGAGTTTAAGGAAAAGATCACTTCAAAGTGCCGTATGAATGTGAGCTGTCATCATTTTTGCCATTTGCTGTGTGGCCTCTGGGTGACTGACAGTGTGACAATGCATGGTTTGGGAAGGGCAGCTCCAAGGCTTTCTGGCTGGGTGACTGACTGCAGACAAGTCAGAGCCTCAGTTTCTCCATCTGCAAAATGGCAATGATAGTTCTTGTGCTCCTCATCTCCGGGGAGATAACGGGCATTATAGAAACAGGAGTTTCTGTAACTATTGTGAACGTGATCCTGACACCCCCAGGCTTCTCCCATCAAGACCCAGTTTGGGAGGTTGGGTGGAAAATTCAATTCAATAAACATTTATTAAGCACCTACTATGTTCTAGGCACTGTGCTAAGTCCTGGGGATGCAAAAAGAGGCAAAAGACAGTTCCTGCCCTCAAGAAGCTTGCAAGCTAATGTAGTTGGAAGGATGGACAACATACAAGCAAATATATACAAAGCAAGATAGAGACAAAATAAATAGGAAAAACTAACAGAGGGAAGGCACTGGAGTGAAGAGGGAGGAGGTGGGATTTTAACTGGGTCTTAAAAGAAGCCAAGGATTCTCATTGGGTCATGCCCATGAGTGGTGGTGCCTGGGCTAATTCCCCTTCAAGACAGGCCAGCTGGTCTTTGTGTGGCGGCAAAGAATTGGAAATTGAGAGGATGCCCATCAATTGGGGAATGGCTGAACAAGTTGTGGTATTTGAATGCAATGGAATACTATTGTGCTATAAGAAATGATGAGCAGGCAGACTTCAGAAAAACCTGGAAAGACTTACATGAACTGATGGAGTGAGTGGAACCAGGAGAATGATGTACACAGTAACGGCCATGTTGTGTAATGACTGACTTGAATAGACTTAGCCCTTCTCAGCAATGCAAGGATCAAAGACATCTCTAAAGGTCTCATGATGGAAAATGTGATCCACATCCAGAGAAAGAACTATGGAGTCTGAATGCAGAGCGAAGCAGACTATTTGCTCTCTTTTTCTTTTGTGGTTTGGTTTATTGCTTCATTCTCGTGGTTCCTTCCATTAGTTCTAATTCTTCACATCATGACTAATGGGAAAATATGCTTAATATGAATGTATAAGTAGAGCCTATATTAGATTGCATGCCGTCGTGGGGAGGGAAGGAAAAAAAGAGGGGGAGAAAATTTAAAACTCTAAGTCTTATGGAAGTGATTGTTGAAAACTAAAAATAAGTAAATAAATAAATAGTAAATAAATAAAATATACAGGCTAGCTGGGTTCTCATCCTGGTTACCCCCCTCACTCTTCCCTGTAATGAGGAGGAAGCCTTTGACTTGGCTTTCCCTGGGTGCATTTGCTCTAAATGGACCCTTTCTCTTTCCAGCTTGACTCAGGTGATCCGAAAGTTTGCCAAACAGCTCGATGAGTGGCTCAAGGTTGCCCTTCATGACCTCCCGGAGAATTTGCGAAACATCAAGTTTGAATGTGAGTTATTGAGGGACATTGGGTTAGTGGTGGGGAAGGGAGGAGATTGGGGAAGTGTTATGGAAAACGGCATGGTGTCACGGGCAGAGCACTGAGCTCTGGGTCCTACGCCTGGCGCCATGCGGGTTCTAGAATCAGAGTAGCATCTTCAAATCTCATGATGTGTATGACCTTGGGAATAGTAACTTAATCTCCTTGGGCCTCAGTTTCCTTATTTGTAAAATGAGAGAATTGGCCTTCCTGGCCTTTGAGGCCTCTTCCAGCTCTCCATCTAAGAACCCTGCAGCTTCAACATTCTATCCTGTTCCTTGATCTGACTAATGAGAAGCTCCGGTGATGACGTTCATTCGAAACTTGGGCTGTAAATCTGTCCTTTTCCCTCAATCTCTGTTCTCCCACCAGAACTCTGCAATGGATTTCATCACGTTTTCCCATCCAGATGAGTTTTTCCCTTTGTATTTTTGAGAAGACTCATGTACCGTTAATTTGTTGATATTAAACAAATATTCACATGATTTTAAGCAAAACAAAGTTTTCCTTAAAAAAAAAAAGTCCTGCACAATTTGAATACAGCTCACCATTCTTTCTCCAAAGAAATGCCAGAATGGAAAACGAAGGCGATCAAATTACCCTCTCTCGGCAGGCAAAGGGGAGCCTTTCAAACATGCTTTGGAGCGGGCTGCCTGCGGAGCACAACACCTATTGATGAAGCCGACTTTCTTTCAGGGGCCTCAGCTCCTTTCTTTTCATGAGCACTAGATTCCACATCACAAAGTTAAAGAAAAAAAAGTAATTAAGGAGAAGGATTAACAATTGATCAGCCTGGAAAATTAGAAGTTGGTGGGGTGAGGGTAGGGCATTATTGTTCTCTCTCTCACTTTTTGTTTGGGGAGCTGGCTTTGGACACCAATTAGAATAATCCCGGGGACATTTTTGATTATTTATTTACTGATTCAAAGATTAATCGGAATAGTGGTCCTGTTCACATTCTAATTATGCGGACAATGCCAAACTGCAGAAAAGTCTGTGATGTGGATGGTGGCTCCAGATTTGGTACCTGTTGGGTTGTGAAGAAAGCAATTACCCCCAGAGAGTCTTAAAATGCACTTTAGAAAATGTGTGTCATAAGTGGAAAGAGCCAGGTTACCCTCCCTTCCAGAGGTCCAGTGGGCGGGGAGGGGGGCAAAGATAGGTTGGTCAAAGAGCCCTTGATATTTCTCTTGGGAAATACCATCCTCTTTTGATGGTAACTGGCTTTTTTGGATTGCAACGAGACTTTAAAAAATACTTTAGCTCAGTTCATGTAATAGGTCATATTGTGTTTATATGTGTCAATTTTATCAACTGAGAACAGCATGCATCTTGCTAAAATGTAAATATTAATGAGGGTGTCCATCACACATATAGCACCGATGGCTGCTTCCATCACTCCCTGCTCCCCCACATATTTCCTGTAGGTCATCCCATGTTTTAGGCACATTCTTGGTCATCATCTAGTCAAAACCACAGCTCATGAGCCCCCACCAATGAGGCTCCCTTACCCGCCAATCAGAGAGCACATTTGTTCAAAACAAAGGCATTTAATTAACTTTCTGTCAGGTTAGCATGCCACCTATATATACAAACTTTGATGCCAAAACCATCTCCACTTTATGCCAAATCCATGTATGAAAGGATTTCTATTCAGCAAAAATCTATTAAATGCCTAATGTATGCAGGACTTCTCACCACTACACAGAATAGCTTTGCTCAATGAGATTTGATGTTTAAAAAAATTACTCTTTAAGAGAATTTCTGTGAGACCTCCATTTGCTCTCTTCAATTATTTAAAGGTAGAAGCAGTGGGCCCCATACTTCAGGAAAGGAAAATCAACACAGGTGAATAATCACATTGGTTTTCCAGTATTTCCTGGACCAAACAAGATTATCAGAGTGAAGTCTAAACTTTAAAACAGTAAACAACAAAAAAGGACCCCAAGTATTATTTTTATTGAACATTTTTGACATTGACAAAGGGTGAAACAAAGAGACATGATATGTTCAGCCATTGGGTTTATAAAATATCAGTGTATCAGGGTATCATTGGTGTTTGATTATTTGGGGCTGGTTTGAATTTGCCCTTGAGAAAAACCAAAATTCAACCTGAGAATGCAACATTTTCAAACTGTAATTCTGTTTATCTGCAGTGTCAAGACGGTTTTCCCAAATTCTGAGGCGGCAAACATCACTGAACCATCTTTGCCAGGTAGTTAGAACAATGTCTTTTGCATTTTGCTTACCGTCTAATCGATGGGGTTTGCTTTGTACCCAACTGGCCAGTCGACAAAAAGGCGCTCTTCTTTCCAGGGTCATGCCATCTGTCTTTAGGACAATTCATCTGCTGAGTGGTTATGATTGCTTGGAGACAAGGAATAAAACAGCTGATCAGCTAAATATTCATAAGGAAATTATGTATTGGGTATCTGAAGCCACTTGCCTCTGAGCATCTGTGATTGGCTTCTCTTGAGAGCATGGCATGGTAGAAAAAATGCTGGATTTGGAATGAGGAGACCAGGGTTCAAATCCAACCTGACACTTAGCTGGGTGACTTTGGGCAAATCACTTACGTGCTCTCAACTTCAGATTCCTTATTAGAGGAAAAATGGACACGATTAGACTTGCATAAAGTTCATGCATGGAAGTCCATATGCTTTACACACAGGGCAGAGTGTCTTTGTTGGTATTTGACCTACAACTCAAAGAGCCAATTGTCTGATTCCCAAAGCCACCGTAGAGTAAGAAAGGGGACTGATAAGAGCAGGGCTGGGGAACCTGGGGCCTTGAGGCCAAGTTCTACAAAATTTGGATTGAGTCAAAAAGCCACACTTAAGGATCTAGAAGGCCATGTGTGGCCTCAAGGCCCCAGGTTCCCCACCCTTGCGTAAGAGGATTCACCGCAGCAGGATTTAAGAGGAATTAATGATGATGTGATAGTGAGGGAGATAGGCGAAGAGCTATAAACAGTACCCAGGAAGAGCTGAGCAGTCTGAATCTGTATGGTTTGGTGGTCGAGAGGGAGGCATCAAGGTGCAGTGGAGAGAATCCTGACCCTGGAGTCTTGGGATCTGAGCTCGAGTTCTGGTTTTGCTGCAAATCGATTCTACCTCCCTGGAGCTCAGTCTCCTCATCTTTAAAATGGAGCAGTTGGACTACATGACCTTCAAGATCCTTCCCAGCTCCAGATATATAATCCTTGTAGACCTCACTATGTTATCGCTTAGGGTGATCATTGATTATTCCTGATCCTAGGAGGGTAAAGAGTTGGGTAGAAAGGTCACTAGATTGGGGGTCGGACAATAAAGACCTTAGCCAGAATCCCTCCTCTGATGCTAACTAACTGTATGACCAGGAGCAAGTCACTGTACCTCTCTGGGCCTCATCTTTCTCATCCGTAAAATAGGAATAATAGCTTGTAGTAACTGCCACGCAGGGTCGTACTGAGATGAAACAAGATAGTGTTTTTGTAAGCCATAAAGTGCCATCAGCATTTATTCTGATGATAACCCCAAGGTGGCTAGATGGCGCCCTAGTGCACGGAATGCTGGGCCTGGAGTCAGAAACTTCTCTTCATGAGTTCAAATCCAGCCTCAGAGTCTGAATAGCTGTGTGACCCTGGGCAAGTCACTTCACCCTGCCTGCCTCAGTTTCCTCATCTGTAAAATGAGCTGGAGAAGGAGATGGCAAATGACTCCAGTATCTTTGCCAAGAAAACCCCTGATGGGGTCACAAAGAGTCGTACACAACTGAAATGACTGACAACAAAACCAAGAAACCCCAAGTCATCAAGAAAAGGCTGAATTCTATTCAGAAAATTCCATTTAAGAAGGCAGAGGTTTAAACATCAAAAATGTGTAAACATGTGTGTGTGTGTGTGTCCATGTGTGTGTATGTGTGTGTGTGTCCGTGTGTGTATCTGTGTGTGTGTCCGTGTGTGTGTGTGTGTCTGTGTGTGTCTGTATGTGTATCTCTGTGTATGTGTGTCTGTGTGTGTGTCCATGTGTGTGTATGTGTGTGTGTATATCTCTGTGTGTGCGTCTGTGTGTGTGTGTGTCTGTGTGTGTGTGCTTAAATGGGGTGAGTTCCAGTTATCTGGAAAACACCCTTCTGTGGAAGAGCTCAGCTCCCCTTGATGCCCAATAAATGAGGTATCACTGAATATAGTTTCACGTTGCCTTCCTCCTTGGGAGTTTTCAAAGTAATTGGCCCCTTGCGGGTAGGGGGGGACATTTTAAGATGGCTAAAACTTCCCGGGCTTCAAGAAACTCTAGCTAACATGAACATACAACTGTGAGCCTCCTCCTTGCCCCTTAACTAATATTTATATAACACTTTAAGGTTTGTAAAAAAAAAATATATATATATATGCACATATGTATATACACACATGCACATATATTCATATACACACACATATATATACATACACATACATGTACATATGTGTACACACATATAGAATATATATAAGTATAAACACTATAAATATACATTATACCTATACTATATAACTATACTAAATATATATACACTGTAACTATACTATAATGCTATAAATATACATGTGTATCTATGTGTATACACATACACACATACCCCTATTTGATACTCAAAAAAACCAGATTCTGTTACGATCTCCATTTTACAGAAGAGGAAACTGTAACTCAGAGTGGTTAAAGGGATTTGCCCAGGGTCCTGAAGCTAGTGCTTGAACTCAGGTCTTACTGACTCCCATTTTGATACTGTAATCTCTCAACCACGCGATCTGCCTCTGGATCGATCTTCTGTTAGGGAGCCTTTATTAAGCACTTACTACACACCAGGCAAGTGTGTTGGGCCTTGGGGACACAGAGACAAAAAGGAAGTAGACTCTGCCCTCAGGCAGCTTCCAGCTTGTCTGGCTTCTCTTTGAGTGCTGAGTCAGCCCTGGTCAGGAAGGATTCAAGCTTGAAAGGATAGGAGGCTGTGGCTGGGGCTGAGGGATGTCAGCATCATCTGAGGGGGGAGGTGAGACATGGAAAGTGGAAACAATAATAGAACCCGCCTCTCTGGGTTGTTGTAAAGATCAAATGAGGTGACATATGTACAGAGGTTTTAAAAGCTGAAGGAAGGAAGGAAGAGAGGGAGAAGGAGGGAGGGAGAAAGGATGAAAGGAATGGAGGGAGGGAAGGAAGGAAAAGGAAAAGGGGAGGAAAGGAAGAAAAGAAGGGAGAGAGGGAGGGGGAAGGAAAGGAGAGAAGGAGGAAGGGAGGAAGGAAAGAAGGAAAAGAGAGAAGGGAGGAAGAAAAAGAGGGAGGGAAGAAAGGAAGGAAAGAAAGGAGGGAAGGAAGGAAAGAAGGGAGGAAGGGAGAGAAGGAGGGAGGGAGGGAGGGACGGAGGGAAAGAAGGAAGAAAAAGAAAGAAGGTAGTTCTACAAAACTAACGGACTCTAAGTGCATGTGAGCATGTACAGTACCATGTACCTGTAGTTCCCCCATCTCTCTGATGAAGGAATGTCAGTCATTCCAAAAGCATTTCTTCGGTGCTTAGTGTGAGCCAGGCACTCTTTGAAGCACTGAGCAGGTTAATTTTCTCACCTTTTTTAGAGAAAATACAAGGTTTATTGATGCTTGTTAAAATGCTGTCATTTCCTCACATTTCTTCCTGACAGAGCTGAGACTTGAACCCAGGTCCCTCTTCCACCTTCCCTCACCACACAGGGAACCCTCATATGTAACGAAGGAGCCCCATTAACCCAGCCAAGATTCCCTCATTATGATGGAGGCCTGCATGCAGTGCCTGGTCTGTCTGGTGATGCCGGGTCAAACATCTGGTAAATCACCAGAAGTCCCATTCAAGGGAAACCTTAGGCTGCGGTTATTCTATGGCATTGGAAGATGAGGCTTCAGGGTGTGGTTCCCACCATCTGGGTGATTTTGGGCACTGCCATCTGACACACACTTACTAAACGCCTCCCATGTTCCAGGTTGTGGGTTAGATGTGTAGGAGGACAAATACAAAACAATCCCCTTCCCCCATCCCCCTAACGAAGCTTATGTTCCACTTAGCAAGTCACTTTGAACCTCAGTTTTCTCATCTGTAAATTGGGGGTAAGTATTCTTCAGCTCCAGGCTTCTTCTGAGAATCCAGTGACTCAGTGGAGGTAAAGCATTTGTAGGCTGTGAGATGCTCTGTAAATGAAGGCTTTTATTGCTCTGTAATCAACTAGTCCACACACATTTATTAAGCACCTGCAGTGTGCCAGGCGCCATGCTTAGGGCTGAGGATGCAGTTATAGAGGATGAAACTTTCCTTCTCAACTCATTTGAGTCAGGACTGTGTGATTCTTTGTACTTTTATCTCCATCCACTTGCATAGTACCTGGCACATAGGTGCTTAATAAATGGTTATTGGTTGGTTCATTATGTTTTAGGCCCTTAAGTTTCCCCTTTTCCTTCTCCTTATCTGATTCCTGATTTGATACTGGTAATTTTTCTTTAAAAAAAAAAAAGCAACAAAACCCACTATCCCTTAGAGAGCAGAATGTCTACATGGAAAATAAGAATAAAGATATTTCTGAAAACCACTCAGCGTGGACATGGGAGCAGCAGGCTCATGTCCACATCTGGGCATGACATGCCACCCGTCTGGAGACAGGCATAGATGACCAGGGACAGTGCAGTACAGTGGGAAGCCCACACAGTTGGTGGCAGAGGGCCTGGGTTCAAGTCTCGGTTCTGTGTGACCTTGGGCAAGTCACTGTCAGAGCCTCAGCTTCCTCATCTGTAAAATGATGGGATTGGACCAGATGGCCTCTGTAAGGTCCACTCTAGTGCTAAACCTATGATCTTGTGATCCATCGGCTATGTCTCTGCCCTGAAGCTAGCAGGTCTAGGTTCCATGCCCAGCAGGATAAAGGACTGGTCGTTGGAGTGGCACATCCCAGCTGCTTCTTGCTTTGAGAATGGGGATCATGGGAAGAGATCAGCCACAAGAGAAAAACCTAATTTAGACTTTCTTAAGTATGGGAAGAAAACCTTTTCCCAACCTGAGAATGGCTAACCCAAATCAGACTGGGGAAGGTGGGATGGAAAGACACTTTCTCTGCATTTCCACTGCCCTGTGTTAGAATTTCTAAGTAGTTTAAGAAATTCCCTAAACAGACACACCTGGGAAGCAGAAAAGGGGATCAAATGTAGGGGATTTTAACCTAATAAGCCACGGACTAATGTATTGATTGGATTGTGTTATAGGCATCAAGAACTGTGATCCACAGTGCAGACATTACTTTCCAAATGCTCGAGGACTGGAGAAACGTGGACCTGAACAGCATTACCAAGCAGACCTTGTATACAATGGAAGATTCCCGAGAGGAGCACAGGAAGCTCATCATACAGTGTAAGATGGGCACCCCCACACCCTAGGACCCTCCTTTTTGTCTTTGGGAGGGAGGGAAATGAGGGCTGGGCTTTGGGAGAAAAACCAAATCCTTACCTCCCTTGGGATATCAGCAGAAAGTACTTCACTAGAAACCAAGATCTCCCTTTCCACTTTTGACAAGCTATGCTGAGGGCAAAACAGGTGGGAGTGCTTTGCTCCTGTAGAGTCCCTTCTTTTTTTTTTTCTTCTTCCTTTTTTTTTTTTAGGCAATTGGGGTTAAGTGACTTGCCCAGGGTCACACAGCTAGTAAGTGTGAAGTGTTTGGTCTGAGGCCGGATTTGAACTGAGGTCCTCCTGACTTCAGGGCTGGTGCTCTATCCACTGTACCACCCAGCTGCCCCCATGTAGACTCCCTTCTTTAAATGTCTTCTGTATTTACATCACCTGAATTTCTGAATATATCACCCTGCATAGTTAGCCTTCCTTTGCAACAAACACTAAGGGGGGGGGGGAAGGCAATTCAGCAAATTCCATTGATACATCAACAAAATGTGAACAAGTCTGATAATATATGTCACATCCCATATCCCTTATACCCTCCTATCTGCAAAGGAGGGAGGAAGGTACATTTTACCCTTCTTCAGGGCCAAGGTGGGTCATAATGGTTACATAGTGTTCAGTTTGAGGTTTCTTCATCTTTCCATTTATGTTGGTGCAGTCATCATATGTGTTGTTTTCCTGGTTCTGTTTATTTCACTCTGTATCAGTTCATATATGTCTTCTCATGCTTCTCTGAATTCTTCAGATCATGAATTCCATTCTAAAAGGGAAGAAGTGGGGTACTCCTTGGAAAGGGGCTGAAGGAGGAAGGGGAAGGTTTCCAGACTCAGAGTTGCTAGTGCACTGACCTCATCCTTCTACCTCCAACCAGGCAGCTTGGAGTCACATGAGTGACATTAGGGACAAATTTGGGTTCCATCGCCACTAAGGGGGGATGCTCTTGTGTCCTCTAAGCTACTTTCCAGTTTGCTAGTATAAGTCCAGTTTGGGAACTCTCCCATTATTCCCCCTTTAAGGGAGTTACCATGTTGAATACTGAAGAATAAACTTACTACTGACACAACAGTAATTGAACAAGCCCTTCGAGAATTCAGTAGCGGGCCAAGGAGCCACTTCTCTCTGAGTCTCAGTTTCCTCATCTGTTAAAAGGATTAGATGAGATGATCTATGAGGTATAAAATTCCATGAATGCTTTGGGCTCTCCCAGATACTGGCCTCTCATTGTTGTTCAGTTGTGTCCAACTCTTCATGACCCCTTTTGGGTTTTTCTTGGCAAAAATACTGGAGTGGCTTGCCATTTCCTTCTCCAGCTCATTTTACAGAAGAGGAAACTGAAGCAAACAGGGTGAAGTGACCTGCCCAAGGTCACTTCAGGATTCCTGACCCCAAGCTCTTGGGGGATTTAAGAAATCCTCTGAGCCACACACCAAGCCTTTAAACACCTACTACACACCAAGCCCTTAAGCACCTACTATACTCCAAGCCCTGCATTAAGTGCCAGGGATACAAATGATGACAAAAGATAGTCCCTGCCCTCACTAATGGGGCAGTTTCAGAGAATCCTGGGGAGAACTTGCATGAATTGATTCAGAGTGAAGTGAACAGAACGGTTTTTACTATAACAAGAACATTGTAAAACAAACCATTTTGAAAAACTTAAGAGCTATTATCAATGTGATGACCAGCCATGACTCCAAAGGTGGGACATGGTGAAGAAGCCCGCTGCACTCTTCCCAGCAGAGAGGGGAGGAATGCAGGGGCCATAATGAGACTTCGGGTTTTTTGAACGTGGCCAGTGGGAGAATTTGTTTTGCTTTACTATGCATATTTATGACAAGGTATTTTTCTTTTCTTTTTTTCTTTTTCTAGTGGTGTGAGGGTGCTGGGAGGAAGGGAAAAAAATGTTTGACAATTGGGATTTTTTTTAATGAGGACATTGGACTAGATAACCTTTCTAGACCTTCCAGCTCTGATTCTATAGTTATTTATTGAACTCTCCAGTTACCAGTCAAAGTATAATAAATTATGTTATTCTTTAAAATGAAAGAAATTTTTTAGAAGCTCAAACAAGCGATTATATAAGGATTTTTAGTGTCTTCTGTTACCAGGCCTCTTCTTCTTCTTCTTCTCTTCTTCTTCTTCTTCTTCTTCTTCTTCTTCTTCTTCTTCTTCTTCTTCTTCTTCTTCTTCTTCTTCTTCTTCTTCTTTTTTGGTAAGGCAATTGAGGTTAAGTGACTTGCTTAGGGTCACATAGCTAGTAAGTGTCAAGTGAGGCTGGATTTGAACTCAGGTCCTCCTGATTCCAGGGCTGGTGCTCTATCCATTCATGCTTCTTCTTGAGTTGTGATCTATAAAGATTAAATCCTTTTATGAAACGGCCTAACATTAGAGGGTAGGAACCCAGAGGCAGCCTGGTGGCCTCATGGGGAGAGGACCATACTTGGAGTTGGCTTTGAATCTGGGCTTGGCCACTTGCTATTCTGTGGCTCTGTCCGAAGCCCCGACTCTGAGGACCCAGCAGATCTCCTCATTGTCATTATTTTAAATATCTAGCCTGGCTGCTGTCTGGCCCACTCAGAATTTATGCTTTGCTTGGATCTGAGGTTTGCTTCATGGTCTCTTGCTTGATTTTAATTTTCTCCTTTGTAAAACTGAGGGGCACAGAGTGAATGACCTCTAAGATGCCTTCTGGTTCTAAAATCCCATGGTCCTCCAAGGGGGTGATTCAGAAGCATTTCTATCACCTGATTCTTGTTTGAGGTCGGGCTTAGAAGAAGGGACAAGGGTGGTAGCAAATGTATTTATTACTTTGGAACTGTGCTGGGTTTTGAATACTAAACTCCAGGCTGCCACTTGGCCAACTAGTTGTGACTTTGGGTTCTTATATGACAGTGTATCAAGAATTTGACCATCTCCTAGAGGAACAGTCGCCCATTGAATCCTACATCGAGTGGCTGGACACCATGGTGGACCGATGCGTTGTGAAGGTTGGTAAGCCAAAGGCGAGGCTCGGGCTACCAGGATACCACCCTTAAATTGACCCCAAACTTACACCATAAATGAACAAAACAATAGTGCTCTGCAATTGGAGACAGTCTGTGGATTTGTATTTATCTTTTTTATGTTATATTTATATATTGTATGTATATGTGTATATATACACATATATATTGTATGTATATGTGTATATATACACACACACACACACACACACATACACACACACACACACAACCACACACACACACACACACACACATATATCCTGTAGGGATATTTAAAGCACATCTATGTTCATTGCTGTAACTAGGGCATGGCGGTTGGGGCTTTGTCCAAGAGTGCCAAAATTGAGAAAGTACTTTCAGCAGCACCTAGTTAGTAAGAATAATTAAAATATGAGGCTACCAGATGGGTAGAGCCCCAGTGCAGTTGGACCCCAAAGCTGCTTCCCCATGGTGGAATGACTTTCATGTGTCCCAGGTTCCCTGCTTCCTCCCCTTGTCTCAACCATAACCAAGATGAATTCAGTTTCAATAGCTGATATGAAGGTTTTTGATTTCCAGGCTTGACCCAGACATGAAAAAGCTGTCTGTGGTTCTGCTCATGTTAAAAATCACTTGTTTTCCTGTAGGTAGCTGCCAAGAGACCAGGTTCCTTGAAGAAGGTTGCTCAGCAGTTCCTTCTGATGTGGTCCTGCTTTGGCACCCGGGTGATCCGAGACATGACTTTGCATAGCGCTCCCAGCTTCGGTGTGTATCTGATCTATCCATGCATGTGCATTGCAGATGTGTGCTACAGAAAGCCCAGCTGATCTGGGCTCACTCAGCCTCTCCCCTTTTGTTCTCTGGGACACAGAGAGCACTAGTGAATGCCATATTAATTCTAGGGGAACTCCACATGTATAGGTCTTTCTGGGACTAAGGCAACTAAGGTTGGGAGGAAATAATGATACAGGGTCATGGAATGGGATTGAATCATGACCCCATAATGGATGGAGTGTCTTATCCAACAACCAACACCCCTGGCCCAGCTAAGTTCCAAAAGGCTCACTGATGCATTAATTCAGCAGTCTGTCAATAAGCATTTACTAAACAACTACAGCATGCCAGGCATTGTGCTTGGCTATGAGGGTAGAAACCTGAGGCCAAAACCAGTCTCTGCCCTGAAGGAGCTTACATTCGGCTGAGTCATCTCCATCTTGACTTTCCCTGACTGGGCAATTCTGAAGCCACTCTCCTGAGTCAAGGGAAGGTTGCTATTGCCCCAGGAAAGAGCTACACTGATGACAGCAAAGAGCCTTGAAACGTTGGCCAGAGGTTAGGATGAGCATCAGGGTCAGAGAATTTGTACGTGAACTAAAGCTGCATGAATCTTGAGCCTGACAAGACTGGTGAGCAGCTACGATTATACAGTCAGCTTGCAGATTTCCATAGTTGTGGCTGTCAACCCAGTCCTTAGAGCATCTGCTTCCAAAGGGCTGTCATATGTAACGATATAATGATTTTGCCTTAGAGATGCAATGTGCTGTATCCCAATTCTGCTACTCAATTCTTGGGTAACCATGGACAGACCACCTTACCCCTTAAAGCCTCAGTTTCTTCATCTGTAAAGTGACAAATTCGACTTAATAAGCTCTGAAGTCTCTTCCACTTCTAAATGCTTGGATCTTATGAACTATCCCCCCAAAAATGCATTTAGGAATTCAATTCAGTTCACCAAACACTTACGGGCATCTACTCCTTATGTGACATTTTACTGGATTGTTAGGGGGGATGGAAGAATGAATAAGACTTCAGTCTTGCTTTCATGGAACCTGTAGTCTAGAAGAGGAGACATAGACATGGATGATTGGAACGCATAACAGAAGTGTAAGTATGGCGAGGGGAGACAGACAAAGTGCTGTGGGAGCTCTGGGCATGAGGGATTTAGAAAGGATTCTCTATCGCTAAATAGTCTGAATCTGCAGCAGTGTGGAAAAGGCTGCCTCATGCATGCATTTCACTAATTCATTTATTAAGGATGCATTTATTAAGAGCCAACTGCATGAAAAGACTTGTGCTGGGGAAGGTACAAAATTTAGATCAATTAATTTTGTTGTTCAGTCTCTTTTATTTGTGCTAGACTCTTTGTGACCCTATTTGGGGTTTTCTTGGCAAAGATACTGGAGCAGTTTGCCATTTCCTTTTCCAGCTCATTTTACAGATGAGGAAACTGAGGCAAACCAGAGTTAAGTGACTTGCCCAGGGTCACACAGCTAGTAAGTATCTGATGCTGGATTTGAACTCAAGAAGATGAGTCTTCCTGACTCCAGGCCTGGCGCTCTCTCCACTGCACCACCTAGCTACTATTCTGCTGTTATTCTTTTTGGGGTCATGGTGTCCTTATCACCTAGGACAGTGCCTAGAATAGAACAGGTGCTTAATAAATGCTTGTTGAATGATCGATTGTGTGTATGGACTGTTGTACAGGTGGTTAAAATGATTGCTTCTTGTAATTGAATCAGCATGTTAGGATATCAGTTCATCTTCTCTGGACTCACCACTTTCTTCTTCCTCTTCATCAATATCATCATCATCATTGTTATTCATTGATTCACTCAAGGTCCCATAGGCAGGAAGTTCAAGTTTTATTCCAAGCTCAGTGCTTTTTATTTTGCGGACTTTAAGGTTAAGTATTATTTTAGGATTAATTCAAGGCCAAGGTAGAAGTCAAAGACGTCACCTGTGACTTAGGAAACGGAAGAGTGAGATAGTTTTCCGGCTTCCACGTGAGAGTATATTCCATCCCCGGGTGGCCTCATATAATACCTGTCTCTCTGGGCCCACTTAGTAAAAAACCTTCGCCACTCTCCTCATCGGCCACACTGCTGAGTTGTTAAGCATGGCGAGATAGACAAGTTGAAAGAATTCCCAGCAGACAAAAGCCCAGCTCCCCGTCTCTGCCTGGATCTGTCAAAGGCACAGTTGGTGGCTGTGTTTTGGTAATGCGTCCCCTGTATGAAAACAGCTAATTAGGAAAAAAGAGAGGCCTCTGTTCAGTTCCCCTTCCCCCAACCACCTTAGCCAGCTCTTGCCATCTTATCCCTTCATGCCATCCTTGTCCTGGGGCACCGGTGCCAGGTTCGGCCCGTTGGCTTAGCTGAGATTGTGTGGCATATCACAACCATCCTGTCTCACCTCTTCCCCCAAAAAGTCTCCTTCCAAGAAGTCTCTCCCCCAAAGCCTCTTTCCACTATGATTCATGATAATCAACTCTGTTCTCTTTCATAATTCCTTCTCCATAAAGGAGCCTGTGTTGCAGACAAAAGTCTCTGCCACAGTTGGGGGAAAGCAGGGCAATAGTGACGTGAGTCGGCCAAAGCAGGCTGGCACATGAGGAGGTTTGGTTCTTAAGAGAGTTAAATAAACTGAAGTTTCTTTACAAAATGAAAAAAAAAAACCAACCTCAGTAAAGCATTCATTCCCAAGTGGAATAATGCTACCAGTTTTCCAGCAAAGCTCAAGCTGATGCTTGCAACCAATATCAACGTGCCACGTTTTTATCTATGATCCAATGCTCAGTTATTAAAAATCCTGGATGTGCTTCTCACTGTGCTTTTTCCAGGCTGCAGTGAAAGAGCTCGTTTCTAGAATGAGGGAGGGAATGGTTCTGATATGCCCTATCGTGACGAACTGGGAATTTGGCTAAAGACCTGGGATTGGGTGGGTGTGGGGAACTGCTTCATTTGATGAAAACTGGTGACTCCTTAGCTTAGAGAGTTGACTGGAGTTGCTGAGAAGTCATCTTGACTTGACCACAGTCACACAAAATAAGTGATGTAGTGGTTAGAGTTTTGGAGTCAGAAAGAAAAGACTCAGTTCCAAAATGAGGGGCACAGATGATGACTATTCTCTGATGTGGAAGAGGGGAAGGTCTGTGCAGGAGAAAAGAGATCTCAGAACCTTTTGGCTGTGAGCACCATTGTGGGTCCTAGAGCTGCGATCGCCTGGGCAGTGGGTCACTTCTTTTCTTTCTGTTGCCAGGGTCTTTTCACCTCATTCACCTGATGTTTGATGACTATGTGCTGTACCTGCTGGAGTCGCTCCACTGTCAGGAGAGAGCCAATGAGCTCATGCGGGCCATGAAGGGGGAAGGAAGCACCGGTAAGACTGCATTGGTGGGGAAGGGCAGGGTCACTCCACTGACTGGGATATGCCTCCGTTTGGACTCTTGAGCTTTCTCTACCCCTGCGCCTGAGTACCCCACAGGCACCTGAGGAATGTGCCCCAAATAGTGAGACTGATGCTTTTCTTCATTTTTAGGGTGTATGTATGTATGTATGTATGTGTGTGTGTATGTGTGTGTATACACACATATACATGCATATAAACACATACACATTTATATGTGTGTACATGAATGTATATATTTACACATGTGTGCACACACATGCACCCTTATACAATGCACTGTATGTACACATATACACGCGCATGTGTACATTCACATAAGCGCATTGTGTGTACATGTATGTGTATTGCGTGCATGTACACACACGTATACACACATAAGTATACACTCACATGCATGCATGTATATTTGGCTCTTCCTTGTCTTTAAAAAATAATTTAAAAAGAGAAGTCCTTTGTGAGTAAGGATGATCCCGGGGAATGAGTGTGCTGTAGTGGAAACAGATTTGGAGGCAGGAGACTTGGGACTCCACTCATGGCTCTCCCACTAAGTAGCTACATGATCCTGGCCATTTAATCGCCCAGTGCCTCAGTATATTCATCTATAAAATGGACATCTTGCTGCTAATCACAGTCATGGTAGCGTGTCGTAGTGGATAGAGATCTGGCACAGAGCCTGGTTTCCAGGCCACCTCTGAATCGTCCTGGCTGTGGGACCCTGAACAAATCACGAGACCGCTCTAGACAGCCTAGAAGTAGAAGTGTAGGGGATGACCCTCGTTGGTGGAGGAACTTAGAAGTTCTCTACATGTGAACAAAATCACGGGTCTGGTCCCTATCACCTCTTCCCTAACTCAGGGGTCAGCAAACTAAAAGCAGGCAGCAGGAGGCCACCAAGATCTCTTCCAGTCTCCTTGTGTTAGAGACGAAGGAAATGGAGGTGCACACTCAGACGGCCAGTGACTGGGTGGTGGATCTCCAGCTTGAATCCAAGCATGGACTCCTGTAGGTCACACTCATTCCTGGTGTTTAGAAAAATATAAAACATGATACAGATGCAAGAAAACATTATAATTGTGGCCACTCTTTAATCCTCAGGGCTGTAAAATCTGGATAAAATTGTAGCCACATAGAAGGAAATTAAGAGAAAACACAGAATGGGGGGGAGGGAAGGAGCAAGAAAGAAGCATTTATTAAGTACTGCCAGGTGCTATGCGAAGGCTTCACACATATTGTCTCTTAATTTGAGCAGAAAGCTTTCCTCAGAATCAGGACAGGGTAGGTTCTAATCCTGCCATGGGCCTGACTTGGCTGGGCATATGTGACCCTGGGCCTGCTATGTAACAAATCTCTTGCATCCCAGGGGCCTCTCTAAGATGAATTGTGGAACAGTAGTCAGCCTGCCTCAGCTGTGAGAGCGGCTTCTTCACCTGAGAGCTCCCTGTACTCGTAAAACCACAGGTCCAGCAACAACACCAAAAAAAAAACCAAACTGTAACAGGCCCATTGTGAATATTCAGTACTGACTCCAGAAGGCAGACTGGGTCCAGCCAGTGGTGACACAGTGGCTAGGGCGTTGGGCCTGGAGTCAGGAAGAGCAGAGTTCAAATCCAGCCTTAGACACTTACTAGCTGTGGGACTGCGGGCAAGGCACTTAACTTCTGTTTGACTCAGTTTCCTCATCTGTAAAATGGGGATAATAACAGCACCCGCGTTGCAGGATTATTGTGAAGGTTCAATGAAAAAATATTTGTAAAGCCTGCTACTGCCTGGCACATAGTAGGTACTTAATAAATGCTTATTTAAATATATATTAATATATAATTATATGTTTATATATAAATATAAAATATAAATTAAGATGTATTAAAGATATCAATAAGTACTTATTTCCTTCCCCTTCCTCCAGCACCTCCAGCAGGCCCAGCTCGTGGTCAATAATAGATTTTGCTTGTTAAATGAGTAGGGAAGACCCTAGCAATAATGCCCTGGAAAAGCCTACAAGGCAGCTCCTGAGCAGGCTTCCCTGTGGGGAGAGCCCACAGCCTCTGGCTGGAGGAGACAGCATGGCGGCCATTGGAATGCTCTGCTCTCCCAGAAGCTGCCCTGGAGGGCAGAGGTTCCTTCTAACCTGTGTGACCACGGCCCTGCATGCCCTCCTGCCCTGTCTGGGTCTCATTCCTTCATCTGAGAAGTGAGGGCTTGGCCTTGCCTGCAGGTGAGGCTCCTTCTGGCCCTGAATCTAGGCTGGAGGATTCCTCTGAATCGTGAGCTCCAGTGCAGAGATAAGCAAGAGTTTATGCCTGGGGCCCTGGGGCTGGCCACTCTGACTCTCTTGCTCAATGCTCGGTCCTCTCTAAAATGATGGTGGGGTGTTTGTGTGTGTGTGTGTGTGTGTGTGTGTGTGTGTATGTCTGTCTGTTTGTGTCTGTGTGCTTGTATGGCTCTGCGTCTGTGTGTCTGTCTGTGTGCTTGTCTGTGTCTCTGTGTGTGTGTCTGTGTGTTTGTCTGTATCTACCTCTGCCTGTCCGTGTGCCTGTCTGTCTCTGAGATCCCCTCCAGACCTACAACTGGTTCTGTGCTTGCAATCCAACTCCTCATCCTCCCACTGTACCCTGCCCCAAACTCCTCTTGCTCCATCTGCCCAAAGTGATCTGGAGGAGACAGAATGGCCTGGTGGCGAGGGCGCTGGACTTGTAATCACTGAAACCTGGCTTCACATCCTCCATCGGACTAATTTACCAGCTTTGTGACACTGGATAAGTCAGTTAACTCTCTGAACCTCAGCCCCTAGAGAATGACAGAAGTCATCAGTCTAGAAACAGAAGGGACCCAGAGGTCATTGACACATTTTTACAAATGAGGAAACTGAGGCCAGGGACTGTCTTGTTCTGAGAACCGCTCAGTGTCACACAGATGGCCAACATCAGAGGCAAGAGTTGAATCTTGGCCCTTTCTATTGCCCAGTCGGCTTTCCACGTACTGATCACTGCCAAGGCAGTTCCTCCTTGTAAAAGGAAGCGGTTAGACTGGATAACTTCAAAGGGAGGTATGCACCTTGGGGGTCCCTGGATTCTGGGATCAACCAGTGAGAAAGAGAAGAACAGAACAGGGCCGGCTGAGATTCCGCACTCACCCTTACCTGGGTCTCTCCGTTGTCGGTTCCCTGTTCAAGACGTCCCAGTCAGTGGGGGAGGTACCTCCTGGCTCTGGGAGGCCCCCCTCCCCTCCCAGAACGATGCCCTCCCCCTTTCTGTACCTAGCCCCCCAGTTCAGAACACTGAAACATGCCGCACCCTCCATGCACTCAGATACAGCAGGGAATGGGGGGCTTCCCCTCCAGCAATGTAGCCCACCCACACCTGTCCATCCTGCCCGACTCTTGTCCGTGCTCCCATGGGGTCGCCATAGGGGGCTTCCCGAGCACCCACACCAGTGTGCTCCAAGCTTCCCTACTCATTCAGCAGGCAGTGCCGGCTTTCCATTGTCCTAACCCACTCCCCCCAGCCCAGCCCACCCCCTCGGCGTCCAGCCGTCAGGCCGCCTCCTAGCGTGTGTCTCTTTGCCCCCAGCAGAGGTCAGAGAAGAGATCCTACTGGCAGAGCCCGCCCCGCCAACTCCGTCGCCCGTGCCCTCCTTCTCGCCGGCAAAGTCTACCACGTCTGTAGAGGTGCCGCCTGCCTCTTCGCCTGTCAGCAACGCCTCCCCGGAGTATACTGGCCTCACCACAACAGGTACGCCCCCAGGGCCCGTGGGCCCACCTACCCACTCTCCTTGAGAAGGAACAGGCTCACTGTTAATAGGGGCTCCAAAGGTAATCTGTATCTGTCAGGCAACCGGGTAGCGCAGTGGACCGGGCCCTTTGGTTGGCACAGGAAGAACTGAGTTCAAATCCTGCCTCAGAGGCTTACTAGCTTTGTGACCCTGGTTAAGTCACTGAGCCTCAGTTTCCTTTCTATAAAAGGGAGTAATAATGCTGCTGCACCTACCTGGCGGGGGTTGTGGTGGGGGTCAGATAAGAGAATATGATTATAATAGCTAACGTTTCCACAGCACCTACTATGTTCCAGGCAGGGTGCTGAGCGCTTTACAGTTAGGGTTTTGTTCGGTCCTGCATACGTACAGTTCTTTCTCATCCTTGAAGCGCTCTAGAAATGCCAGCCGCCATCACCCTCACCTTCCCGGGCCGGTTTACTGGCGGCCATCTGTATCTCTTGCCACTCTCCAGCCCCCTTGCAAAGGTCCATTCCTTTTCCATTCAAGCTGACAAAGCTTAGGACTGCACTAAGACTTTTGGGACACCCTGTACTGAGAGCCTTCAGACTCCATGAGGACAGGAGAGGCAGGAGGGGATCGTGGTTAAAGGGCCGGGCTTGAAATCAGAAAAGCCTAGGTTCAGGCCCTGCTCTGACATGTACTGGCTGTGTGACCTCCTGGGCAAGGAGCTTAATCTCTGGTTTCTCCTGCCAGTCTGCAAGACTCTCAGTGAGAGACGAATTTCTGATTTACATGGATGGAGGGAACTCCCACACTGGGACCTCCCCACATGGATGAGATCACATGTCTGGACTCCTTCCTGCTCTCCCTTCCCTGTGAGAGCTGGAGAAACTGTAAGAAAGCTGAGAGGAAGCAAGGGTGTAGGCAGAGGGCAAGAGACAGCCCCCTGACCAGGCACTCCAGCCTGTCTCAATGTGCGCCCACAGTCACACCCTCAACCCAGCTAGGTGGCATGGGCTGGACTCCCCAGAACTCTTGTCCATGGTGGCAGGCGTGGAAGGTAGCCTTATACTATGAAGCTACATGTTTTATTCAGAGTGGGAACTCCCCGTGTGGGGACTTCCTCCCTCCTTCCTTCCAAGGCAGAATCCAGACTGCCAAAGTCTTAGTAATTATGTCCTGGGGAGACACACAGAATTGAAGTGACTTGTCCAGGATCGCCCAGATAGGGCGCATCAGAGTCAGGACCTGAACCCAGCTCTCCCTGACTCCATGACCAGCACTCTGTCTGCCACGCCACACAGCCTTGAGCTCAAACATCATTCACTCAATTTTATTTTATTTTCAGTTCCAAATTCTTTCTTTCCCTCCCCTCTTGTGCCCATTGAGAAGCAAGCAAAAGGAAAAAGAAAAAGCGCAGGCATTATTGACCCCATTTTACAGATGAGGGAGTCGAGGTCCAGAGAGTTCAAGTGACTTGTGTATGGAGTTAGTATCAGAGCCAGGGTGTGAACCCCACCCATCCTGACCACAAGGCTGTCTGGTGTTTTGGGGGAAAAAATAGTGGGATTTGGAGCCAGAGAACCCAGGGGGCTGATGATTAACCTTTCCAGTCCGGTTTCTCCCTTCACAAAACGAGGTGCCATCTCACAGCTCCCTCCTCACTCTCAGTTTGTGACCCCCGAGCGAGGGCTGTTGACACTACAGTGAGGGGTGGGCTGCCCACAAAGGAAATGCAACGGACCCAAGAGGAGAGCGAGACTTCCGAAGCATCGGGGCCCTGGGAGGCAAACAGGGAGGCGCTTTCCCCTTGAACTCATAGCAACAGCTCAATGCAGTCTCTTCACATTCACTGCCAAGGGCATCAGATCATGATTAGCAAGATTACTCCTACTTGCTAAATGCCCTGTATTTCCTTTCTACCTAAGCTACAGAGTTTGAAAAGGAAAGCATCTTCCTTCTAGGGGTCTGTCCTCTCCAGCTGGGGTTTCCTTCCCCTCCTTGCTCCCCCCTCCCCCTCCTGTCCTGGCCCTCTCCCTGCCCCCTTCCGTCCTTCCCTTCCTCCCCCCTCCCTGCCATTCCACTCCCAGCCCAGCTCTTGTCCTGTGTGGAATCTGGTGTCATTACTGTTTTAAAGTAAGAGGTAAACCCCTTGTGGGCAGACACTACTCTGTTCTCATCTTTGCATCCCTACCATCTAGTAGAGGGCCTGTCATGTGAAAGACCTAGAATGATTCTGCTCATCCCCAGAGGATACAGCTGGGCTCAGTGGAACCTAGAAAGAGGGGCGTTTCACCTCTATGGAAAGAACAAAAAGATTTCCTGTTAGGTGCCGTCCCAAAGTGCTATGGGCCGCTTCAGGAGGTGATGAGTTCCCCATCACTGGAAGTCTTCAAAAAGAAGCTGAATGACCAGGAACGTTGTAGAAGGGATTCTTGTTCCTGTAGAGATGGGACCCCTGAGGTCCCAAAGATTTTATGATTTTTTTTTCATGGAAACTGATTCCTAGTGGCCTGTCATCATCCTGACTTAGGAGAACTGTGGGTCATTTGGGGTGAGCAGCTAGATAGTTCTTTTCCTGAGGAGTTTGTATCTGAAGATGATTATGTTTATCTGCATGTTTCCTCTTGCTATATATTTCTCAGTCTCCCAGTTTTGAGAAGGAAAACATCTTATATTTCCTTCAAAATTGTTCTTCAGTAGTAGCTGCTAATGAGAGCCCTCACCCAGGATTCGATGACCACATCATTCCTTGGAATATGTGTTCAACCAAAGAGACAAAGGGAAATCACATTGGAGGAATGGGAAAGGAATGTTTTTCTACCTGCTTGTACATCTCATCTGATTTATGAGTTTGCCGGACTTCCTTCTGGTATATGTCATGAATCAGCTGCCCAGGGAGGGCAGGTGTGCTAGGGGGATGGAAACTGCCTGGAACATGCTGGGAGACTTGAATGCAGCACGTTAAAAGGTCATAAAAGCATCTCTTCCGAAATATAAATATGGAACAGATTCTCTTCAGATGTTGGTAACCTTTGAAGATTCGGGGCACTCTGATTTTGTTCTTGGATATCTCCAGGACACATTAAAAAATTTCATCACGCATGAACTGATGCCAAATGTTTTCCTCGAGTGCCATTTATGAAAGACTTAGGCGGCAGTTAGCACTCAAAATGAGAACATGTTCTTGGAAGAAAACAAGGAATTCATTCCTTTGGGTTATCAATGCTATGTGGGCCTATTACGAGCGATTATTAAACATGTTAGGGCCCCATTTTGGACCCTAATAATACAGAAGTTAAAATGATGCCCTCCACTATCAAGGAACTTATGATGTATTTCATTTATAAAGTAATAATATAATTGTTCTGTGAAGGAGACAACTTATTCTTTGGGGTAATTTATAGAAAGGTATTGTGTCAGATTTCTATTGTCTTGGACGTCTTCTTAAATGTGGAAGTTGGTTTTCTGCTTTTGGATAAAGTCTGGTTGACCTGAGTTTGGAAAACATGAATTTGAATCTGATTTCTTGGGCAACTCTTTCTCAGTAGCGTCGCCAATGAAGATTTCATTTCCTTGATGATCTGGACTCCTCAGTTACATGTTTTTCCCACTGACAAAGCTATGCTCATGGTTCCATACTCAACTCAGCTAGACTTTACCCAGAGCAAAAGTCATAGGTGATTCAGAGACAGAGGACTAACGTTCGAATTTCGACTCTGCTGTTTTCTTATCTATATGACCTTGCTCATGTCAATTAATCTCTGTAGAGATGAGTTTCCTCCTCTTTAAAATGAGGTCTTTGGGCTGGTGGACCTCCAAGGTCCCTTCCAGCTTGGGACCTATGATCACAGAGCTGATGATGCATTGTGGTGTTGGCTGTCTAACGGTGAGCCATCCATACAATAGCTTTCAAATGTTTGGGGCCTTATGAAGATGCATGTGTCCATCAGCAAGTAGGGGCCTTCTCCTAATTAGCTCACTCTATGCCATTTCTGATCTGCATAAGTAAGTTTCCATCAATGGAATCCTCAGGCTTACCTGAACATTCATAAATCTTTGTATCTTTTCTAAAATCCTCTGATGCAAGGTATAGTTTGAAGGAAGCTCCAGTTTTATCAGCAAATGATTGCTGGGTTTATCCACACGAGTATTTCTTTTTAAGGTTATACGCTTTAATTACTTGAAAATGGGGGGAAAACCTAGGTGTGTGAAACAAATTGACATACAGTGAATTTTGATCATGTGAAAGAAACTTAATTATTATATATGATGAAAATGCTTAGTAGGATGGTGGATTTAGAGTTGAAAAGGATGTTATAAGTCATCTAGTTCAACCCCCTCATTTTACAGATAAGGAAACTGAGGCCCAGAGAACAGAAGGGCATTGCCCAATATCACATACATGGTCATTGGCAGAGAGCAGATTCAAACGTAGGTCCTAAAAATCCAGAGTCAGAAGCTAGATGGTTCAGTGGGTGGAGACCTGGATTGGGAATCAGGAAGACCTGAGTTCAAATCTGACCTTAGACACTTCCTAGCTGTGTGACCGTGGGCAAGTCACTTAATTTCTCCTTGCCTCAGTTTCCTCACCTGTAAAACGGGGATGATAATAGCACCTACTTTGCAGGGTTGTTGCTGGGATCAAACGAGATAATATTTGTAAAGTGCTTAGCACAGAGCCTGGCACACAGTAGGTGCATAATAAATGCTTGTCCCCTTCTCCTCCCCTCCCCAATCTGCAGGACTTTTTCAGCAGAACCACGCAGGATAACCATTTAGTTCAATTGTTTCCTGTCTTTTTTTTCCCCAAAAAAATGTCCAGGCCTAAGAAAATGGAAGGAAAACAATCTCACACTTCTCACCCTTCCCCTTCCCTATGCTGCACCCCGACTCCCTGGTTCCAAACCTCCGCCATATTTTAAAGTCCTGCCTTTCTTTCAAGAAAAAGGAGCATGACATTTGGTGCCACATCAGCCAGCCTGTTTAACATGACACAGGGAGGCAATTCCTTAGCCTCCGTTAAAGTCGCAAAATGGGCCTGCTCGGTGCTCATTCTTTCAGACTGGGTCACCACCGGGTTGGAGGATCTTCCATGTTTACTTTTTATGGGCTTCTTAAGTCCTTCCTTACTTCTGCTATCGGCCATAAAAGTTAACCATTCATCTGGCATTCCAAACCACCTCCATTCACTTCGCTCAACACAAAGACAGCAAATTAAATTGGGGGCGATTATATGATGCCTGCTTAAGGAACAGTAATCCATATAAATGGGCCCCTGGCAGAACCTCTCCCCGGTGGGGCCAGCTTTATCTGTGGGTCCTCTCCCCCAATGGAAGAAGATTCCAAAGGGATGACAGACCCTCATTCTTTCTAAATGACAAAAGCCCCATTAATGATTATTCCGATGGCCACCCCACCAATACGTATAGGGTTTGCTCCCGGGCCAGCCAATTACTCATTTGCTAATGGAATTGTCCTTACAAACCTTAGACGTGAACACATTCCCAAGATCTGGGTGCTAATGGCTTCTACCTCATCTTAGCTGTTTTTTTGCCCTGGCAAGAAGTCAAAGTGGGAAATTTATCCCACAATTAAAAACTAGTTGTTACCTTCTCAGAGATTTTGACTTTGGTTTTCTGACCTCTTGACAGGGCATAGGACTACACCTAAACGCTTCCCCAAAACATCTCCCTGGGATGGGGACTGGATCTGTTATTAGTGCTGTAGAGCAATCCTCATGCTATAACCCGGGGGACCGAGCCCCGTCTACCTCCTGTTTCTGCGCAGTGGGGGAGCTAAAACATGTATTCACATTTTTCAACTTTATTTTGAAATGTAGTAAAAAGCATCCTTTGCTCTCAGGCTGAATCCTAGCATAAGGAATTCCCAGACGAAGGAAATCATTCTGCCAGGGCAGGTTGTCGCCTTCTGTGCCTATTCTAGTCTTAGAGAGTCAGAACACACCAAAGTTAAGTGACTTGGCCCAGGTCACACAGCTGGTTTGTGTCAGAAGTTCCCAGGCTCTCCTGGCTTCAAGGCTGATGCTCCATCCACAGAAATGGTGCACCTCCTCCTTCCCTTGGAACACGCATTGTTTTTTGCCTCCTTTGGTCAATTTGGATTTTGTTATGGTATTAACTGGGATCACTCAGTTGAAGTTTTCTTGGGAAGTATCACGGCACAGTGGAAAAAATGTGCTAGATTTGGGGTTCAGAGGACCTGGATTCCAATGCTGGCTCTTCCATTTGCTGCCTGTGTTACCTTGGATGAGTCGTTGAGTTTTTCCAGGTCTCAGATTCCTCATCTATACCGTGAGGGCATTGGACTAGATCAGAGGCCTTCAAACTAGATTAAAATGTAATTGGGAAATATTTAGTCAAATAAATAAAAATACAACACCACATAGACAATGTTAATGTGTGGTTTTCTGAGTCAGCGGGACACCCGGAGATCTGTTTCTATTTGAGTTTGATGCCATTGGACCACATGACCTTCGGGGTCACTTTCATCTCCAAGCCTAGGATCCTGACAGATTGGGTGGAAAAGTGGGAAGAGCAATGGATTTGGAGTCGGAAGACTTCAGTTCAAACCCCAGCCCTAGCACTTACCACCCTTGAGACCTTGGGCAAGTCACTTAACTACTCCTCACCCGAAATGTGAGGGGGTTGGATGAGACGGCCTGTAAATTGGTGTTCCTTGCCCAGAAGACCCCGTCTTGCCAGTCTGTCAGCAGCGCGGGGCTTTCGAGCTGGAGAGAAACGCGGAGGCCATCCAGCCTCACTATCCCGTGGCCAGTGAATGGCGGAGCCGAAGCCCAAGCCCAAGCCACGGAAGACCGTTCTCAAGAGGTTTCATCATGTTTCTCTTTTGGAACTCCCGTCTCTAGTACGTCCTTCCTCGCAGCCTAATTTCTCCTACCTTCTCTCAGGGGTCGCTAGTGCCCACCACTGGGGGGAAAAATCCTTCTGTTCCTTGTCTGACTGCTTAAAAAAAAATCCAAGGGAAATCCCGGCGCTCCTATTTGGTTGGTTCACTCTTATCCCAACCTCTCCTCCTCCAATTCTTGTAAAGCTATGAGCGCTCTATGTTTTTCCTGAAAGGATAAATGTTACATAATGTTAGTATGACAGAGCCTAGATTTTCAAATCCTTTAAAGACATGGATAGCTTAAGACTCTGATGCTTTTTAAAAAAAAAATTAATGTAAATAGTAGTGTTTTTCAATTCCATGTAAAGACAATTTTCAACATTCATTTTTTATAAGATTTTGAGTTCCAAATTTTTCTCCCTCCTTTCCTCCCCTCTTCCCCCCCCCAAGATGGCAAGCAATCTGATATGACTCTGCTGATTTTTAGGAGAGAAGCATCTGACACCCAAGGGATGCATTCTAATCCTTTTGCATGTTTTAATGCCCTGCCACATTCCCCACCCCATCCCAGCCAATCCAAACCTTTAAGGTGATTTAAACTTATACTTTATACTTAGGGCGAATCTTATTTGAAAATGTTCTGCTTTTGGGGGAAAAATATGGTCATTGTTAGGAGGTCGGCACTGGAGCTTGACTCAAAGGAGAAATGCTATCCAATCATAAGCACTTGGAGGTGGGAGACACCTCAGCACTTAGCCAGTCCAGCCCCTTACCTGATATGGGAACATGACCTAAGACACCCATGATGGATGCTTATCCATTTTCTACACCTCTACTGATGGGGACCTCATTACCACATATCCAAGTCCGTTCTGCTGTTGGACGCCTCTGATTATGAGGAGGATCCTCTTTATATTGAACTAAAGACTATCTCCCTGTGGCTTCCACCTACTACTTTGAGTTTTGCCCTCTGGGGCAGCCGGATCCCTTTTCCCGTGGAACAGAGCCTCACATATTTGATACCACTGACCATGTCCTTTCTATAACTCGTTTTCCAAAGTAAAGACCCCCCCAGTTCCTCCAGTTGGTCCTCCTGTGACATTGATCCCAGTCTCTTCACTGTCTGGGCTGTCTTGCTCTGGAAATGCTTTGGTTCATAACTCAGGCCAAGTGCTGATCCTGAGTGCTTACATTCTCAAACTTTCCTCTGGGCAGGGTTTTCTTCCGCTGTTCCTTCCAGCTCAAAATCTCTGCTCCTATTAGATCAAGGCAAGGCATTTTTAAAATATCCATTATTGTGCAACATGCTTTGAGCTCTACCAAAATGGGCTTGTTAAATTATTGACTTAAGGTTACTTAAAGGTTCTCATCATACTTATTTTCATGGCGCTTTTTGGTGGACTTGGCTGAATGTCTGCTCTTCGCCTCTCCTGGGGCCCATAGCAAGAGAATGGGGAGATGACGTTGGTATCCTATGATCAGACTCCGTGACAGACAGAGCGCCATTTTGTCTTAGCAGGAGCAATGCAGTCCTACACCTGGTCCCTTACGTACACAGTGACGACGGCTGCTGGTTCACCTGCTGAAAGCTCCCAACAGCTGCCCTGTATGAGAAGCTCTCATGTGCCTTCTTCCTCCGTCACCCATCGGATACCAGTTTATCCCCACAGGGAGGAACACGGGTAGGTTACCTTCCCAGGCCCTTACCCTGCCTTATCATTCCATTCCTGGTGCTGGCCTCTACATATCTATCACTTTCTCTAAGGCAGTGGTTCTCAAACTTTTGGGCCTTAGGACCCCTTTATGCTCTTAAAAATTATTGAGAATCCCAAAGAACTTTGATTTAAGTAAGTTATATCTATTAATAATTCCTGTGTTAGACATTAAAATATCTTGGCATTATTATGAAAATAGTTTTGACCACATAGATCCCCTAAAAGGGTCTTGGGGACCTCCTAGAGGCCCTGGGCCACACTTTGAGAACCACTCCTCCAAGGAAATGAACAAACAAAGTCCTGAGCTAAGAATTCCCATTGGTCCTTCCCTTCCATCTTTTTCTTTGTGTCGCTTGTACTTTGGGGGCCATGGAAGAAGGACCTGTACAGCTGACCTATTAGGGTCTTTATGAATCTATTTAAAAGGCAGGTGAGCTAAGGTTACCCACCATTGCTGGTCTTTTGCCCCACGGACACCATGGTGTGGTCCTACCTAGGAACAGGGCAGTGTTCATTTCATAACCTAAGTAGGGAAACGTAATTTGGGGTATGCCAAGTGATGGTGATGAGGAGAAGCCAGACAAGAGAGCCCACAGAGAGCCTCGACTTGACTGTCTTTTATGTTTGAAATATCAAACTGATTTGCTACAATAACATTATTCACGAAAAAATACTCACTGCTTTTTAGCTACACGGGGAGTTACAACTATGGAACCTATAGCAACCAGCATCCCCACCCAATGCAGAGTCAGTACCCATCCCTACCGCATGACACGGCCATCTCTGGGCCCCTCCATTATTCTCCATACCACAGGGGCTCCTCACAGGTAAGGTTCCTTTCCCTTCTTTACAAACCTGGTATGTTTGGTGTCAAGTCAAAGTATGATAGAGTGTGTTTATGAAGCCCCTGTTGGTGTGTGCATAGCTCTGTGTTGAGTGTCATTGGGTACAAAAGAAGTAGATGCTATATTGGACATCATCAGGCCCTCAGCTCTAAACCTTGGAGTTGTCTTCGAAGCTGCCTTTCCATCAATCCGCTTGTCTCCCATATGCATTTATCCAGCGCATTTCACCAGGGCGGACAATCAGGGAATTCGATTCTTGTTAAGGAATGACCTACTAAATCCTTACCGATCGTAGCTTTAGAATGGGAAGGGAACTAGAGACCATTTAATCCAACCCATCTATTTGACAGATGAGAAAACTGAGCTGGAAGAGGTTAAGGGACGTTCCCCGAGCCACACAGTTAGTAAATGGTGCAGCTGGGATTCGAATCCAGGTCCTCCGGCTCTAAATCCAGAATTTGTTCCATTGCTTTAACTAAAGGACACTATTTCTTTCCCCAAACTAAAGAAATTAAAACTCAACTCAGGGAAATTTTTAGAATTTAACATTACTTTAAAAACAAGACACAGGGCACTCATTTTTATTTCCAGAAAATGTAGTGTTCCTGACTACTCTGTATATACTCCTGTGCCTTCATTGCTTTGTACTTAAAGGTCTTTGTCCTTCCCAAACCAACCCTAGAATGTTAGGCCTGGAGCCAGGAAGACCTGCATTCAAATCCAGCCTCAGATACTGACTAGCTTTATGACCTTGAACAAGGCGCCCAATCTCTGTTTCCCTCAGGTTCGTCAACTGTAAAATGGGAAAAATAAAAAGCACTTACCTCGCAGGGCTGCTGTGAGGATCGAAGTGCCTGGGACATAGGTGCTCTGTAAATACTCACTCCCTTTCCTTTCCCTTCCCCCAACCTGCCTGTTTCCTGCCAGATTAATCTTGGACTCCTTCTTTTTATCAAGGTATTGCCCTGTCTCAGTACATCTCTTATGTCTGTTATATCAAATCCAAAGTCTCCAATCTGCGGCCCTTGAGTTAGGAGCCTCATGTTGGTCACTCCAATTCTCTGGGTTATTTACTTCAAAGTGAACTAAATGAGGCCTCATCATTATATTGGTGCTCCAAAACTGGATGCATTTCTAGCAGGGCAAATGACGTCTGTCTCCATCAGTCCTCGATCATTCCTGTTAACCTAAGCCACAAAAAGCAGTTGGCTAGGCTCACTTCATCCTCAGATTTCTTGTAGGACTTTGCTAGGTCTCTCTCGGCACTTAATATGTTCTATTTTGTGTGATTCTTGTGTGCATTTCATTATCACCACCACCCTCCAAGCTCCTTGAGGACAGAGACTGTAAAACTTTTTATCTTTGCATCTATAGCACCTTGTACCTGGAAGGCAATTAGGACATTTTTGATAAGGCTGTAGAGACATTTCAGAAAGATTTTCAATGCCAAAGTCCCATAGAATGTAAGCTCCTTGAGGGCAGGACCTGCTTCATTTTCATCTTTGTTTTCCCAGATGTTTAGCACATAGTAGGTGCTTAGTAAGTGTGTATTGATAGGACAGGTTCCAACTAAAGAATTTTCTGCTTATTAACTAGAGGGTCCCCAAACGTTCCAGTTACACAGAGTGAGACCTAGTTTTCTTCATTCAGAACTTCTTTCCTGATTTTATTTCCCTGTGTTCTCAAACATTACTTCTATTTCCATCATTGCTTTTCTGTCTCCTCACAGACAATGCCTGCTTCTTTTCCCTTGGTGAAAGAAAAGGCAGTATAGACTACCATTTTAGCAAAGGAATCCTCTCCTCTAGTGGAAACCTTATCTTCAATGTTCATAAAGAATGTTTAGACAAGTCATCTCATTATCTCCATTATCATAGCATCCTCATTAACTCCATGTTTCTCATTAATAGGCAGCATGATGTGATGGAAATATCACTGGACGAGGACTCGGCACCCTTGGGTCCTAGGCCCATCTGTGTTATTAACAATTTGTGACAAACTGAGCCATGACTAGGGGAAAGCAACTGGGACTTTGCCTCCAGGAACTGAAATGTAGAACCTGCTGATAGTACTTATAGAAATAACTGAGCGCCTAGTTAACAAGAATAATTGGTTAAAATAGGAATGGCTGGTTAAAATAGAAATACTGGATGGCACTTATTGGTCTCATTCTACCCCCCACCCCACCCCGGTGGCTCTACCCCAGGTGAGATCCTCCCTGACCCAGCCCCGCCCTTCTTTTTCCCTTGATGGTAGCCTCATATCCCTTCCCCCATAACCCCAGAGTCCCTTCCCACAGGGATTAATGTCACAGGATCTCTGTCTCTCGACTCTTGGGAAACATCTTGGGGTCTTCCCCCCAACCAACCCAGGACCTCATGTCTGAAAGTCCGAGTTGTCTCCTGAAGCTCCCCCCTGCCCCCCCCAACTGAATTTGTCTTTAAAAGCTGATCAGAGGTTGAATTTCTTGCTGCTTGCTTCAGGCACATTTTGGGGTGCTTGCTCCAGGCAATAAAATGACTAGTAATATCTCTGGTGACAGCTAAAGTGACCTGGGTCCTGTTCTTCCTACATGAATCTCTATCTACTGCCTCTCTGCTTTCTAGCTGTCTCTCCTCCCTGGAATGTTCACCCTCCTCCTCTCTGGTGATTGGAATCCCTGGTTTATTTTAGCAAACAGCTGAAGCACCACTTCCTACCTGAGAAACCTCCCTGCACCACCAACACCAGTTACTAGTGCTTGCCCCTAGAAATTACTTTACCTTGATTTTGTGTGTATTTTCTGTATATTTCTAAGATATGGACATAGATGAGTGTACGTATAAGTTTCCCTAGGTAGAAGGTAAGCCCCTTGAGGGACGGGATTGTTACATTTTGGATTTTGCACATCTAATGCCTAGTATGACGTGGCCCCATGTCTTGTACAATCTGCCATTTTGTAAACCATGGCACATGGCATCAAAGAGACTGCTGTACCAAGCTGCCGCCAATCTGGGTAGGGTTGAAAATCTGACAAAGCACCTGAGGAAATGCACATTCCCTGCGCTTACCCTTCCTCTTCCATTAGCCTGGGAGAAGATGGAGGAAACATCACGTGAGAGTTGGGATAGAGGTAGGCCAGCTTGCTCCTCCCTAAAGCTGGATCTGACAACCCCACAGAGGTTGGCATATGGTCAGTTGTTTTTCAGCCTCTTCCTGACCCCATTTGGGGTTTTCTTGGCAAAGATACCAGAGTGGTTGCTGTTTCCTTCTCTAGGTCATTTTACAGATGAGGAGACTGAGGTAAACAGGGTTAAGTGACTTGTCCAGGGTCACACAACTGGTAAATGTCTGAGGCTGGATTTGACTCAAGAAGATGAGTCTTCTGGACTCCAGGCCCAGCATTCTATCTACTACACCACCCCGCTGCCCATATAGTAAGTGTTGAAGTCCTTACCGACTGATTGATGGCTTTTCCCTAGTCTCAGATTTAGTCTCCTTTTCCTTATAGTGACGATAGGACACTAGTTGGGGTTACCTCTCAGATATTGTTATCTTGTGAGCATTCTGTCCCTTTTCCAGCACATCCCCTTCTCTACCATCTCTTTTGTGCTTAGCCCTGAGCCTTTGACCAAGCCCTGCCCTGTCAAGGTGGAATCCCAATGGAACTGTCTCTGTAATGACCTTAACTTCCCTCTCTACCTGTGATGCCCTTAGTGCCCTCGATGCAAGAAGCTCAAGACCTTGAGTGTATCACTCCTGTTCGTTCCACCACATACACCCAGGAGTTGCAATCAATCACTAGGGCAGGTGACATCAGGAGTAGGCTGGAAAATGTTTAACAACTGGCTCTCCAAAAATAAACAACAACAACCACCACCATATTTAAGACCCACACTTTAAAGCTTCATCTTCATTATTCACATTTTCTCCATCCCTTTCTTAATTCTAGATAAGAATAATCAATCAAGCCCTGATTTGTAGCATTCACTTATTTCCGATGTATAACATTGAAAATTTAACAATCGACTCTCCAAAGCCAATATGAACCAGCTCCAGTGACATCCTTCTGTACATTCATTTGCAATAAGAATAAGCAATTCTACCAACCTAGCTTAATATGGGCTCCCTTAGTAAGCCTGGAGTTTACCTTTAAATACAGATTGGAAAGTTGGCTGGCTCACACAACCTGATTGTGTCTCTTGTCCATTCTTTCCCCTGGGATGTCTATGCTGCTCAATTAACTCTCTTGGCTCTTTGCAAGTGAGACTCACTTATGTCCAGGAACCTTCTCTAGTAGGCAGTTGACAAAGCTTCTTTGCCTATCATTTCATTTCTACTTTTCCAATTCAATTCAGTAAGCATTTGTAATATGTTCATGGTACTCTGTGAAGTGGTGGGATTCCTGACCCCAAGGAGCTTCTGGTCACTGGGGTGGGGGACACCTAACCCAGTCCTCTCTTGCTTCATCGCTCCTCCAATTTTCTATTTTCTCATCTCTGTGTGAGACATGTGAGAAAGAGTTTTGGGCTGCGACCTGACAATCTTTTCCAGACAGCTACCATCATATAGTAACTGCTTGATTAATACTTTCTCATTCATTCACTCATCACTCAGTGCCCAGTTTTTCCCTCTGGCAAATATCAGGGTGTGTGGATAAAAATGGATGATCCAGGCTTCACATCTGTGTAGCCTGGAAGAGATCACTAAAAGCTTTTTGGATTACATCATGTTTTGGATAAAGGCAGGAGAATATGGCCACGACACTCGGGCACTTGGGGTAAATGGCTGTGTTTTGATTTCCATCTGCAGCATCAAGGGAGAGCCTTTGGGCAATCCCCAGACAAGCCCGGGCATCGGTTCCACTAGGTCATCACCTGGGGCATTCATTATAGGCTTCTAGCTGCGTCAGGAGGAGATGCAAGCATCCATAGGTGCTGAGGCTCTTGGGAGCAGAAGCTGGGCTGCTTTCAGAGGTCCTAATGATGACTGAGAATTGCCTT